CGATGCTATGCGGAATTCTGTATGAATAAATTCTGAACAGACCTCAATAGTCAAGTTTTACGTTGCAATGCGATAAAAAAATGAATAATCTAAGCTCAAACCAAGATTAATCCCAGAACATAGCTGATCTAGCATACCAAGATACTAAGCATCAGAATCGATCATCGATATCAAGGAGGGCCCACGTTGCCGGCAAGAATGATCAAATCCGCCCTGGAAATCTTCTTGCCGTATTTCTGCTTGATTGGCCACAACAGGCGACGTGCTCATCCTGTAAGTCCTTCCATTCATGCCAAATCGACCATATTTAACGCGAAAGCAGACGGTGTCGGTGTCCCCTCCCGCTAGGGCGAGGTTGAAGAATGGTTGTCCTCATCTCTATGTCCATCCACCGGTCTGGCCTCTCTTCCGGCCCTTCACACAGCGCTTCATCAAGTCCACCGCGTCCCGAAGCCACCCCAGGGTAGAAGATGGTGGAGGAATGTGAATTGGGCTGTTAGAAGATAGTCGCTTATCAACATTGAAAATGAAAGTAAAGTAGTGACACTAAATCTGGTACTTTTCTCCATCTCTTAGAAGAAATAGATAATATATAGATCCCCAGCTATAATCTCAAACAGTTGATCTCAAAGAGAAGGTCGAGATCCAAAATTTACACTTACGCCCGCCTCGGTGTGGAATAAGATAGGCTCATTTGGGCCTTCTACTTGATAATACTACGTATTTTTGAAAAGGGTATGTACGAGGCCTGTGCAGCTAATCGTTTTCAAGAGAGGTATGAAGACGTAAGCAGCTACAGCAAAAGCAATATACCCATCATCAACCGGAGCCCTCCAACTCAAACCCTCACCAGCCGCCGGCGGCGAAACTTCACCAGGAACGGCTTCCGCGTCCGAAAGTAAAATAAGAATAAGAATAAAGCTCTTTGTATCATCATATCATAATCATCATGGCCCCGAAATTTTGCATCATCCACCACCCCTTACTTAGGCAGATCTCTAAGCGCAAGCACAGTCCGAATATGCTCATACTTAAGATTCCCATCCTGCGCCCAAGCTAAAAGCCCCGCAGTCTTGATAACATTCTTAATCTGGCGACCGTTCAACGCCACCTCAGCCACCTGATCAAGCTGCTCATCAGTGAAGGTATCAGTCTTAGCCGACCGACCCAGGAACTGGGCCCAGATGTGTCGTCGGGACTTTGAATCGAGGTCTTTGTAATGGAGAGAAAGATGGATTCGAGATTCGAAGGCTGGATCGATGTTTTCGGCGCGGTTGGTAGTTAGGAAGAGGATTCCCTGGAGGTGATATCAGGTTAGTATACTTGTTCTCGTCCCCTTGTTGGTTCGCCTGGCTGCAACGGAATTCAACTTACCTCGTAGTACTCAAGCATCCGCAAAAAGATCGAAACAAGCTCGTTACGAGCAAGATCAGTTGCAGCGCGCGTTTCCATGAAGACATCGGCCTCATCGAGCAGAAGGACTGCGCCCCATTTTGGAACCATGCGCAGGATGTTTTTCAGGCTGTTCTCGACACTGTCGGCATTCATTCCCAGGTCTCCAGCGCTCATGACGTACAACGGCACTTTCATGACCTCGGCAACGCTCTCTGCAGTAAGAGTTTTGCCCACACCAGGCGGACCAGACAATTGCATAATGATACCACGACCCTTGCCCTGAACAACATCGTCAAAGGCATCCAATTTCTTAGATTGGGCTTTGGCAACAGCCAAGATGACATCTTTGAGATGCTCCTGTTCCTGCGGTAGAACCAAAGACTTGAAGGCATCATCATCCCATTCGATATCCTTCGTCATCTCCAGATGAAACATAAGCCACTCCTTATCCTTGAGAGAATACCCATGCAACCAGGGCGTCGCAAAAAGCCGCTGTTCATCACTCTCCAACCCCTTCCCAATTTCGATACTCGTAAAGACGGACGTGCTAGGATGGAAGATATTATATCCCTCCGCATCGATGATAACCCGGCTCTTGACGAAGTACTTCGTCTCCTTTTCCTTGCCGGTCCGCTCATCCATGGTCCGGCTCATGGCAGGCCCTTCGTACGCCTTGTAGTGGTACCCCTTATGCTCCTCCCATCGTTTACCACGCGCAATCAGCATCGCGTGGATAGCCTCCTGGTCTTTGAGGTGCTTCAACGGGAATAAGGGCAGTGAGGTGATGGGCACCGTGCCCGTGAACGTATCGATAGCAAACTCAGTGCTCTGAAATCCGAAGTCTGTACCGTCGAATTCGACATAGTTGACGCTCGCTTCCCATCCACATTGTGTGCTGTTCAGTGAAGAGAATTGGTATGCGCGCAGGGATCCGCCGCGTGAAGAGATGACCACGTCTTCCGGTTCCATGATGCACCATACTAGGTCGAAGGCGATGACTCCGTTGGCGACTAGATCTTTCATGCGATCGATGACTTCTTTCAATTCCTCACTCATGATTTTGTAGAAGAGATCCACGTGCGCTTTGGTCGTTGGGTCTTCTTCTACTTCGCGGGCTTTGGTTATATCCTCCCAGCGGTGGACAATGGGCTTGAAGGGGGCTTCGAACTCGAGGCGTTCCAGGCTGGTTGTCACACCTGGGTAGTTGCCCAGTGCTTTGCCGAGGAATTTCTTCAGAGGCTCGCTTTGGATCACGATTGAGTGGATTTGCAGGCTCTTGCGTCCGTCGTAGCACTTTTTCTTGCGGACTAGGAGCACGTATTGGGCTGATTCGGCGTCTTCAGCCGGCTCGGGGAGGTCTGTTGGCATTTCTTTGCTCCATGATGTTTCGTCGTTCTCGTCGGGCTTGGTTTGGTATAGACTGCGGACGTCGCAGATGGTGCCGACGGGCTCATACTGGACGGGTGTTTCCTCGGTGCCATTTGCGCCTGTGCCGTTTGTCTCTGTTCCCTCTGCGACCGCCATTTTCAAGTTTGTAATACTGGGAAATGGAATGCAAATTATGGAGAAGACGGAAGGGAAATGGATGGATAGATATAGACGAAAGAAACTTTGACGCAGGGTGAGAAAGAGAGGGAACAACAAAGGTTCCCTTTATATTTACATCTTGACCAGGATCTGAAGGCAGACATGTATACCACTGTTGCCTATGCTGTCCGGGAATGAAAGCAGCAAAGATGCCCGGGTGAAGTGAGGCTACGACGACGCTGCGATGACTTAATACAGGTCGAAAAAGTCAATAAGAGCCTCATATCCAATGTGTCCCAGTCTCCACGCACAATATGCATGAGAGAGCAGAGATGTTTCAAGTTGATTGGGCTTATTCGTGTTCAGATGGGCCACTTAGAGGACTTAGAGAGGATGTTGTGTTGGGGTCTGCTCCACACATCATGCCATACGATTTCCGCTGAGGGGTATTACCTCGAGGTCCCCCAGGGCCAACCTCCTTTTTTTTTTTTTTTCTTGTAGAATACTTCATGAAATCGTCATTCTCTGCTGTCGCTATCTACACCAAAATATGTTGCATCTCAATGGTTGAGTTGTTGCCTTGAGTTGGCCTGTACGGCAATCCCAATCCCAATCCCAATCCCAAGCCTTCACCTCTCACTCAGTCTTGAAAGCGGTCAAACGGGCCCTGATCACTTCCTCCGAATCCTGAGTGTCCAGCTCGCTGAGAACACCCGAACCGACGTCGTAAATCAAACCGTGGAGCTCGAGTCCACGCTCCTGAATGGCGTTCAGCACAACACCCTTCTGCTTGACGATGTTCAGACCCTCGCGGACGTTCAGCTCGGCCAGCTTAACGGTAGCCTCGTCGGGAGACAGGGACTGCAGAAGATCGAGGTTGCGCTCGCGCAGCTGACGGAGAGGTAACAGCCACGGGTCCAGAATTCCAAGGTTCTTGTTGCCCATGGCGGCCGCGACACCACCGCAAGCGGTGTGCCCACACACAACGACGTGCTTCACGCGCAGGTACTGCACGGCATATTCGATGGCGGCGGCCGAGCTGAGATCACCGGGGTGGAGGACGTTGGCGATGTTGCGGTGGACGAACACATCACCGGGCTTCAGGCCCAAGAAGGTGGTCTCTGGGCAGCGGGAGTCGGAGCATCCGATCCATAGAATCTGTGGTGTTTGGCCGGTCGCGAGGGTTGGGAAGAGATCGGGGTACTCGCGCGCCGTCTGGGCTGCCCATTCCTTGTTGTTGCGCAGCGCGGTGGCGTACCGATCTGTGTGGTCCCCGCCAACTTGGTCAGTCTGGGTCTTGGCATTGGGGGTGTTCGCGCTTGGTGTGTCTGCGCTGCTGCTTTTGTGATTGGCACAATGGAAGGGGGTGGAGGTCGAGAAGGGGACGGTGCGAGGCGCCGAGAAACTCGAGCCGGAGGATACTCGCGAGCGGGTCTTGAGCAGGCAACTCGATGAGTCACTTGCTATCCCCACTGCGCGCGCAATGAAACCGGTTTGCCCGGCGAGCCTCGCGAAAGTCATGGGGAAGAGAGAGAGAGAGAGAAAGGTGGGCTGTGAAGAGAGTGCGAGTGTCCGCGGGGAGGAGGCAGAGTGAGAGGAATGGGGAAGCAATAGATCCCAACAACCGTCGCTTCTCACCGAAGTTCAACAGATTGATCGGAGAGCCTTAAATTGACTGGGAGGCAGGAAAGAAGATGGGAAAAAATGGATGGGGATGGGAAGAAGTTTGCCAAGAAAGACGCAAAAAACAAGGACGGTTCGCGCTCACGTACCTTCTTCAGAAGCCATGATAGATGGAGAATGCGATTAGAAAAGAGAGAATAGGGAGAAAGAGGGATACGGTAAGGTCTATATAAATACCGAAAGTACACGAGGGGCAACCGGTGTGGAGTGAGCAAAACGTTGAATTCCGAGGGGAGAGCGGGAAGATCGGCGAACCGGAAGGTTTTATCTATACACCTGGGCATTGCAAGCCATAAGCGTCTCTCATTGTTCTTTTAAATACAAATGCAGTTTTCCCATGAGAATCATAATGCTTCAAAACAGATATAAACAACGCATAATTTGAAATTTTATTTTCAAGCAGCACTGCCACGGCCACCAATGCTCAGCAAGGTCTTGCGCTGTTCCTCGCTGAGCTGGGCAGTAGGCAGAGGACGAGCTCCAGCAATAGTGGGCGCAGGAAGGAAGCCAATTTGCACCAAGTATGATGCATACAGGCCAACCAATTCCTCGGTTACACCAGCGCCGGCCGATGCATCAATGCCAGACCAGGCGGCATCCGCAAGTAGGGCAGCGGCCGCATTGGTGTCATCCAGCTCGGGGGCCTTGGTATTGGAAGGGAGGTCAGCAGTAACGAAGTGGTAGAGAGGCATACTATAAACTAAATTAGTGTCTTTCAATCATGATTCCACGAAAGGGTAACTTACAGGGCATGCTGGGAGTCCTTGTCATTGTGTTGGCCGTCGTTGACATACTGCTCGAGGGAGGTGGACCAAGGCACGTAGTCGACCTGGGGAACATTGTATCCGTAGAGCTCGAGCGCACCAAGGAATTGGTTGAAACGCAGACGCGGGTGTCCAGTAACATGGGCAACAGCGACAGACTCACGAGGCGGGTTGAAGGCACAGGCGATTACAATACGAGCCACGTGATCAACTGGGACCATGTTGACCGTGTTGTGGATGTTGGGACGGGCATTCAGCTGGATACAACCTTTGATCATTCGAATGAGGAAATCATCAGTGTTGGTAGTACCAGTCACCGAATCACCCAGAACGTATCCGGAACGGATGATTGTACCCCTTAGGCCTCTGCGGCCAGCCTCACGGACGAGGTGTTCGCCAGCCCACTTGCTCTGACCGTAACCTGTTCCAAGGCCGACACTGCTGCCCTCCATGTCGTCGTCTTCACTGATACCATTGCCACCAGCAGCGATAATACGTTCGGATTCCTGGACGAAGTAGTCCTTGTCTAGGGCACTGGTGGAACTGACAAATGCGAGCTGCTTGGCCTTTCCACTGCCGCACAACTTCAGGGCATCGATGGTACCCATGACATTGGCGGGTCTGAGGGTGGCGTAGGGGTAGACCCAGTGAACAAGAGCTCCGTTGTGGACCACGGCATCGACGCGGTTGGTGAGATCATCCCACACAGCCTGGGAAAGACCGAACTGGGGAGTTCCGAGATCACCACACAGGGCCTGGAGTCGGGCAGTCCATGCCTCATCCCAGAAGCCGTATGCGCGGCAAGTCGAGCGAAGACGCTCGAGAGCCTGCTCCTCAGTCTTGGCACGAACGAGGGCAATGACCTTGGTGGAAGGCTCCTTACGGGTAAGAAGGTCACGGAGGATGTGGGCACCTAGGAAACCAGTAGCTCCAGTGAGGAACACTGTGGGCTCAGTGGCAAGCATGGGCTCGGTGCGGACAGGGAAAGACTTAGGCAGCTCGTTCACGAGCTGGCGTGCGTCCTTGGAGTACTCATCATCAGGCTCGTTGGCGGCCTGCACGGCTCCGGCAAGAGTCTTGTCATCGCTGGTAGCGAATGACTCAAGGGCCAGCAAGCGATCGATCTCACCGGCAAAGCCCTTGAGGGTTGGGCTGCGGAAGATGGCGTTCATGCTGATATCAATTCCACGCCACTTGCGACGAAGATCGAAAAACATTTGCTGGGCAACAATGCTGTGACCGCCAATATCGAAGAAGGAGTCATCCGCTCCGATCATGCGAGCAGTTACATTGGGGATGAGCTTGGCCCAGATCTGAGCCAGAGCCAGCTCGGTCTCAGAAAGGGCCTGCATGGCAGAGGAGCGGCGGCGGGGCGCAGCAGCGCTCAGCTCAGCGGTGTCAGGGAAGGGAAGTGCGGGCTTATCAATCTTGCCATTAGGGTTCAGAGGCATACGCTTGAGAGGAATGATGACGGTGGGCACAGCGTATGTGGGGAGCTTGCTGCGGAGGTGCTCACGAGCATCATCACGAAGAGGACGGAAGCGGCGCAACATGCCGACCATACCCTCAGCAGAGTCGTCATCTTGGAGACCCTTGCTCTCGAGCCAAGAAGCCCACTTGCTCATATCAGGCACAAAGTAGCTGACCAGAGTAGGCTCCTCAAACTTATCTCTTCGTACCAGGGTAACGTTCTCACGGACCAGAGGGTGGCGAGAAAGATGAGTGTCAATCTCTCCAAGCTCAATACGGAAACCGCGAATCTTGACCTGGTCGTCAGCGCGACCAGAGCACTCAACGTCACCAGAGGGAGTGTAACGGCCCAGATCACCACTGCGGTACAGACGATCCCGAGGACCGACGTAGAACTCGCGCCATGGCTCGTTCTTAGACTCGACCTTGTCCTGTTCAGTCCACACCTCGGGCTTGACAAACCAGTTGGTAAGGAACTTCTTGGCATTCAGATCCGCGGAGCCAAGGTAGCCCTCGGCAAGACCCGCAGCACGAACGTAGATCTCACCTACTTCGCCAACAGCACAGATACGGCTGGGATCAAAGCGGTTGACAACAAGCATCTGAACGTCCAACATTCCGCGACCAGCAGGAATCACATCCTTCATGGTGTCCAAGTAACCTTCGTGGCTGGAGTAGCTGGGGATTTCAAAGTAACTGACGGCACGCTGGGTCTCAGTCGTTCCGTACATGTTAACAATGTTCACGTTGGGCGCTAGTCCCTGGAGCGAGCGGCAGTCACGCTTGATCAGAATATCACCAACGAAGAATGCGTGGTGAAGAGCTGGGAATTGAGCAGAGGCACCACCGACGAGGATCTGACCCATAGCAGGGGTAAGGTGGGTGATAGTAGCACCATACTTCTGCATCCACTCGGCGAGCTTCTCGTTCTGGATGTCCTCACGAGCGGGCACCAAGAGCTGAGCACCCAAGAACAGCGGGGTGAAGATATCTCTTTGGATGGGATCGTGAGCAATACCACTGAGCATCGTAAACTTCTCATCAGGGGTGAGCTTGAAAGTCTCGGACATCCAAGGGAAGTAGTAGGCCAGGGAAAAGTGACGGCCACGAACACCCTTGGGCCGGCCTTCTGAGCCGGAGGTGAAGGACAGAGTCGGGGTAGAGTCGGGGCCAACAACGACACCAACTGGCTTGGACTTTAGGGCGACTTCATTAGCGAAGACATCCTGGCCATTGACGGATCCACCGGAGAGGGTTCCATCATCGAGCAGGGCAAGAGCAGGAACCTCAGTGCGGAGTTCCAAGTTCTCGTTGATGAAAGTACGGACAATGTCCGATAGCTCGCCTGCATCAATGGTAGCCTTGGCAATGTTCACCAAAGCGCGAGGACGGGCAACGTCGAGGTAGATGTTCTGTCGCTCTGGTGGGTAGGCAGGGTCGATGACGGAGAATGTCGCACCGGCCTTCAAGATACCCATAACAGCAACCACCAGGTCAACACCGCGGTAAGCATAGACCATAACAACTTCGCCCCTTTCAATACCAGATTGCACCAGATGGTGACCAAGAATGTTAGAGGCCTCATTGATCTGGCGGTAGGTAAACTCGCGGTGAGGAGAGTTGGTCGACTGGGTTTCAACCACACACAGCTTCTCGGGGTGCTTTTCCGCATTGGCGGAGAAGATGTCGTGGATGGCACCACGGAACTTGGACCAGTTCAAGTTGGAGGTAGGGTCAGGCAAAAGCGCACGCTGGTCCTCGGTCATCAAGTCAATGCGTCCGATAGCCTCCTCTGGGTTGGCAGCAGCATTGCTGGCAATACCTGCCAACTGTTTGAGAATGAAAGCAATGCGTGCACTTGAGAAGAGACGCTGGTTGTAGTATGCACCCAGCTCGACCTCCGAGGCCGAACCATCAGATAGGTTGCCCGGTGCAACATTGACTACCAAATCCGTAGTCTCAAAGGTATTCGCAGGGTAATCCTGAGAGGCGGCAGGTGCATCGTATGCGGCAAATCGGAAAAGGATGGGAGTGCGTTCTGAGTTGGACTTCTCCTGCATGTAAGTGCGAAGGCTGCCCAGAGGCACGATTTGGGAGCTACCTTCCTTGAATGCCTGCGGAGCTATTAGCAGTCAACCCAAGAACCCTTACAGTTATACACACCTTGTCTACTTTTGCGTAGAGCTGGACAAAGGTCTCCGAGGCATCAATCGGGATACGGATGACGAATGGACGACCATCCTCCTCCGAGCTCGTCCCCACAGCGATGTCTTCATCACCTGTCAAACGGGCCACCAGAATAACAAAGGCAGTCAGAAAAATAGTGAAACCGGATGATGATCCGGACAACTTCTGAAGTTGCAATTGAGTCTCCTTGGGGAGCCGGAGAGACTCAAATGCCTCGATAGCTCTCTTACTATCGGGCTTCTGTGTATCGGGATAGTCACGAGTCAATGGCGAGACGGTCAAGTTGTTCAACCTTTGTGCCCATGTCTCCAGGCGGTCCTGCAATGAGGCCGTTCCCACAGCCATGATTGCAGTATGTCAAAATAGTTGGAGATTGAAAAAGACAAGATGAGTCAAATTACCCCCCCATATCCGAGGGGTGAAAAGTCCGATTTCGCCGCGATCACCATGCATTGAGGCGCTGATTGGCTGGGGCTGTACCCCACAAGAAATTGGATAGTTCACCGCCTTACCGTTAAGCATGGAGTACAGAGTATAGGATCCTTGTTCAGTTTATATATACTGGTAGATGATGGAGTCATAGAGTAGCATGAAATGCTTGTAGTTCTGTGATATAGTTCATAGTCATGATATATATTTTGGGGGCAGCAGATGTAGTCACAAGTACATTGCTTGTGTGTGCTTTATCTCTGATACGATACAATTATTATATGATTTAATTGGTACCAAGTAGAGGGCCATAACAAGCCGTTCAATATAGAGAAACAAGAATCTACTTCACGTCAGCGTATATATATGTTTATGTATGCTGAGTGACATGAGGTCATTTAAAGTTTGCTGAGTCAGCACACAGGGAGGCATCGAGGACAGTCATCACATCGTTAAATGACGTGGACGTGCTCTTGAGATTGCTAGAGCTTTTTTGTTAGCGAAAAGTCAAGGCACTGGAACTGTTAGGCCTCAGCATTCTGATGGGATAGTGTTGCGTTGGCATAATATCTATCGTCATCTCCGGCAAGCCTCGATTGGTTGGCTCCGATCCCGTTCAAGGTGGACACTCAGGAGTAGCCTCGCGATCCTAACGTGTTTTCTTCCAATTCTTAGCAGGCCTTGATACAGGTCTGTTGGTGTGAATGTGGAAAAGATGATTCCTCATCGGAGTACGGCTCTCCTGTCCGTCATCGTTTTTGTGGCACTTTTGCTTTTCATTTTCTCGTCCTCCCCGGTCCCTGATGCCACCGCCGAGGAAGAGGTCACAGGCCCAGCGAAGTATGTGCCCAGACCAAAACTACCATCATTAAGCAATTTCCACCTGCCTTCTTTCCGCCCTCCTTCGCACGAGCAACCCGAGGAACAGAACAACAGCACCCACGGCGAGTCGAAATGGTACAGCACCTTGGAATGGTTGAACCCATTCTCTTCCGCCATCACCTTGGATGAGAGCCGCTCTGTCCTCCCTCCCCTTCGCGAGCGCCGACCGATTTATACCTACTACAACACGAAATTCAACCCGAACAAGGCCAACGGGAAAGATCTGAAGGACCTCCAGAATGCCGACGCGGAATTGCTTCTCGCATGGCGTCGGGCGTGGTACGCGCAAGGATTCCGGCCCGTGGTGTTGACCCCGGGAGACGCGATGAAGAATCCCAACTACGAAATTGTTCAGAGACTGAAACTTGCGCCTAAGGTTGAGAACGAGGTGTTCGGTTGGCTTGCCTGGGGACACATGGGCACAGGAATGCTTGCGGATTTCCATTGCTTCCCCATGGCGCGATACGACGACCCTATGCTGTCGTACCTTCGTCGCGGTAGCATGCCAGAGTTGATTACACGATTTGAAAATATCAAAAATGCTCTTTACTCGGCGGAGAAGTCGCGGATCGCTGAGGCAGTTGAGGCCGCAGTCAAGAAGCTCGAGGATAAGACCCCGTCCTTTGTGGATCTAATTGCCCCAGAGCTCTTCAAGGTTGAACAGCCGCATGCTTTGGCCTTTTACAAATCGGCGGCCATTACTTCCCACTACGCGAGCGTGCACGAGAAGATGGGCCAGAACCCTGCGGCTGGTCAACTTGCCTTGGTGCAGCTGATCAATTCGCATCTACACAATACCTTCCAGAATTCCTTCCCAGCGGGATTGGCTGTGCTAAAACCGTTTCCTCAGCACACCACTGCCTTGGTGGAGCCTGCTCTCCGGCTGGCAAAGGCCCTTATCCAGTGCCCCGAGTCGCCGATTCCCGAATCTTGTCCACCCAATCTTCCGGATTGCCGCTCCTGTCACTCTGCAAAGCAGCCCATGCGCATCAGCCAACCCCCGACCTACAAAAATACCACATTCCTGTTCACCATCGGCACCCTTCCCCACCCCTACACTCTGGTTAGCTTGCAAAAGAAGTCGGATGTGATCACAACCCCACAGATTCGCCGGGAAACCGAGCGTGATGCCTGGCTGTCAGAGGTGACCAAGGAGGACCTTGGACCGGAATTGGGTGCTTCCTATCGGGGAGTCGTCTTCAAGCAGGTTGTCGCAGGTGAAGATGCCGTCGGCACTTCTCTATGGATGACCGTGGAATCTCTCCCCGCGGAGGCTGGGCAAACTCTCCCCTCCGAACTCCTTGATGAGTTCGAATGGCAGTTTGGATTCAAGATTCCTCGCGGAGGCAAGATTGACCCTGCGACCGAAAACGACCAGCACACCGCGAAGAGTGCGCAGGATCGGACTCCGAGCGAGCAAGGAGTCGGCATTGAGTACGAGCTGATTCAGAAGGCCCGGGATACTATCAAAGACAAGGACACCAACCGCATCAACATCAAGGATGTTGTCGAGGCTTGGAACCTCGCAGACACCGAGGTTTGGCGCTTCGTCAAAGCTTACCGGTGAGTCAACTATGTCTACTTTCCAGATTAACCTGCTAATCAGATCTACAGGGCCCGAAGCGTTGTTGAGCGCCAGAAGTGGGAGGAGGAAGAGAAACCTTTTGCTGGCTCGCGGACATAAGTATGTTATATGATATGTATTCTTGCATATTTTTGGTTTGGCGCAAAGGATATATAGAGCAATTTCACCAGTATTGAAGTGACAAAGCCTGGAATGATAGTGGAGGAGGCGTAAAGTAATCAGGGCACGATGATAGGGCGCCAAGCCGGATGAGCATCGGACAGTGGCGATCCCCGCAAGATAACAAAGTCCGGAGTGGGAGAGCACATGATACTCGTCCTCACCTCATCGTTTGGACTTCCCCTCTTGTAATACTGACTTTCTGAAACCTCATCCTACTGATAACTTTAGGCAAGTCGTTGCGGACCTACCTCTTATAAAAACCCCACAACATGCACTACCAAGTTCGCCCTTGAAACGAAGCTTGTTTGTTTCTACTTTTTGCCACATCTCGATAAGAACATTATGGCGCCGGGAATCCTAGAAACGGACTCCGCGGTCGCGGCTGAGAAGGCCACCAGCTTGTCTGCTTTGACCGAGGACTGGGACGATACAATCCGGTTCTATCTCAACGGCACCAAGGTTACCGTGGACTCAGTCAATCCTGAAGTGACCCTTCTCGAATACCTGCGGGGGATTGGGTTGACAGGAACCAAGCTTGGTTGTGCTGAGGGAGGCTGTGGTGCTTGCACAGTGGTGAGTCTCGATATATATCGAGTGCAGACTGTTGTCTCGGGATAGACTGACCTAATGTTCATTTGTTCAATAGGTCGTCTCTCATATCAATCCCACAACGAAGAAGATTTATCATGCCTCTGTGAATGCCTGCATTGCTCCTGTAGTCAGCATTGACGGTAAACACGTCATTACAGTCGAAGGCATTGGAAATGTGAAGGACCCCCACGCGATCCAGCAGCGAATTGCGGTCGGGAATGGAAGTCAATGTGGTTTCTGCACTCCAGGAATTGTGATGGTACGCCCATGCGGCATCTTGGCCTAGTATCTTACCACGAGGTTTTCCTTTGACTGACCACTTCAAGTCTCTTTATGCCCTGCTACGAAACAACCCATCTCCCTCAGAACACGATGTCGAAGAAGCATTCGATGGAAACCTTTGTCGATGCACCGGCTACCGACCGATCCTCGATGCCGCCCAAAGTTTCAACTCGAAAAACAACTGCGGTAAAGCCTCTGCCAATGGAGGCTCAGGCTGCTGTATGGAGAAGAATGGTTCAGGTGGCTGTTGTAAAGGATCCTCGAATGGCAATGTAATCGAAACAGTCGATTACAAATTTCCCGCGCCAAACTTCAAACCATACAGCCCAGACACGGAGCTGATTTTCCCTGCTGCGCTGCGAAAACACGAATACCGCCCACTGGCGTATGGCAACAAAAAGAAGAAGTGGTATCGGCCTGTGACTGTGGATCAACTGCTGCAAATCAAGCATATCCACCCGGAGGCTAAATTGATCGGCGGAAGTACCGAAACACAGATTGAGGTCAAGTTCAAGGCTATGCGTTATGCGGCCTCTGTCTATCTGGGAGACATTCCTGAACTACGACAATTCACCTTGCACGATGATTACCTGGAAATCGGCGCCAATGTGTCTTTGACCGACCTCGAGCATATCTGTGACCAAGCGGTTGAGAAGTATGGCGACGCTCGAGGTCAGCCATTCAAAGCGATCAAGAAGCAGTTGATGTATTTCGCTGGCCGACAAATCCGCAATGTCGCTTCTCCGGCGGGCAACCTGGCCACTGCCTCGCCAATTTCAGATCTCAACCCTGTCTTTGTGGCTACTAACACTATCCTCGTGGCCAAATCTCTCGAGGGCGAAACTGAGATTCCTATGACTGAGTTCTTCCAAGGATACAGAAAGACTGCCCTCGCTCCCAATGCAATCATCGCTAGTTTACGCATTCCGGTTGCGCAAAAGCAGGGCGAGCATATGCGAGCCTACAAACAGGCCAAGCGTAAGGACGATGATATCGCTATTGTCAACGCCGCATTACGCGTGACTCTGTCTGAGACCAACGATGTGGTCAGTGCCAACCTCGTGTTTGGTGGCATGGCAGCTATGACGGTTTCGGCAAAGAATGCCCAAGAATTCTTGGTTGGCAAGAAGTTTACAAACCCTGCGACACTTGAGGGGGTGATGAGTGCATTGGAGGAAGACTTCAATCTGCCATTCGGTGTTCCCGGTGGCATGGCTAGCTACCGCAAGTCTTTGGCATTGGGCTTCTTCTATCGATTCTACTACGATGTCCTTTCGGGACTCGAGGTCAAGGCCTCAGATTTGGACCCAGACGTTGTGGCCGAGATTGAACGAGCTATCTCATCGGGAGAGAAAGACCAGGAGTCTTCAGTCGCTTATCAGCAGAAGATCCTCGGACGAGCAACTCCGCATGTCGCGGCTTTGAAGCAATCTACTGGAGAGGCTCAATACACCGATGACATTCCCGTGCAGCAGAATGAACTATTCGCATGCATGGTTCTCTCCACCAGGGCTCACGCCAAGATCCTCAGCGTGGATGCTTCTGCTGCTTTGGATATTCCAGGCGTTGCGGACTATGTGGACCACACGGATCTTCCTAACCCACAGGCAAATTGGTGGGGAGCGCCCAAGTCTGATGAGCTCTTCTTTGCCGTCGATGAAGTTACAACAGCTGGTCAGCCAATTGGCTTGATCCTGGCTACTACGGCTAAGATCGCAGAGGAAGGTATGAGGGCTGTTAAGGTGGAATATGAAGACCTGCCCAGTATTCTTACCATGGAAGAGGCCATTGAGGCCGAATCTTACTTCGAGCACTACCGCTACATTAAGTGTGGTGATACCGAGGAAGCGTTCAAGAATGCCGATCACATCTTTACTGGTGTCTCGCGAATGGGTGGCCAAGAGCATTTCTACTTGGAAACTCAGGCTTGCGTGGCTATCCCACTACCAGAGGATGGTCAAATGGAGATTTGGAGTAGTACTCAGAACCCTACTGAGACGTAAGTTCTACAAAATTCTACTTCATAGGGATTTTGAGCTAACTGCTTCTACAGACAAGCCTATGTTGCCCAGGTCACAGGTGTCGCCGCGAACAAGGTCGTCTCGCGTGTGAAACGTCTTGGTGGTGGTTTCGGCGGCAAGGAGACACGATCTGTCCAATTGGCTGGGTTGTGCGCCACTGCCGCAGCGAAGACTAGACGGCCTGTCCGGTGTATGCTCAACCGTGACGAAGATATCCTGACTTCCGGCCAACGCCACCCATTCCTTTGCCGTTGGAAGGTCGGAGTGAGCAAGGAAGGAAAGTTACTTGCCCTTGATGCCGACGTCTTTGCAAACGGAGGCCACACACAGGACCTTTCTGGCGCCGTCGTGGAGCGAAGCTTGTCACATATTGATGGCGTGTACAAAATCCCGAATGTCAATGTTCGTGGCCGGATCTGCAAGACCAATACCGTGTCGAACACCGCATTCCGTGGCTTTGGTGGACCCCAAGGTCTCTTCTTCGCCGAAAGCTACATTGAAGAGATCGCAGATCATTTGGGCATGTCTGCCGAGCATGTGCGGGCTATCAACATGTACCAGCCGGATGAAACTACGCATTTCAACCAGTCTCTCAAAGACTGGCATGTGCCCCTGATGTACAACCAAGTGATTGAAGAGAGCTCTTATAATGAGCGCAGAAAGGCTGTGGAGGAGTACAATGCACGGCACAAGTGGTCCAAACGTGGAATGGCTATTGTGCCAACCAAGTTTGGTATCTCGTTCACAGCTCTGTTCTTGAACCAAGCAGGTGCCCTGGTTCACATTTACCATGACGGAAGTGTCCTTGTGGCGCATGGCGGTGTTGAAATGGGTCAAGGTCTACATACAAAGATGACCATGATCGCCGCCGAGGCACTACAAGTCCCACAAGCGGACGTCTTCATCTCCGAGACAGCTACCAACACAGTAGCCAACACATCCTCCACAGCCGCCTCAGCAAGTTCCGACCTCAACGGCTACGCCATCTTCAATGCTTGCGAGCAACTCAACGAGCGCCTTCGTCCTTATCGCGAGAAGATGCCAAACGCACCAATGAAGGACCTCGCCCACGCAGCCTACTTCGACCGAGTCAACCTCTCCGCCCAGGGATACTACCGCACCCCAGACATCGGCTACGTATGGGGCGAAAACAGCGGCCAAATGTTCTTCTACTTCACGCAAGGTGTAACAGCCGCCGAAGTCCAGATTGACACACTAACAGGCGACTGGACGCCCCTCCGCGCAGACATCAAAATGGACGTCGGCCGCACCATCAACCCCTCAATCGACTACGGCCAAGTCGAAGGCGCCTACATCCAAGGCCAAGGCCTCTTCACCACAGAAGAAAGTCTCTGGCACCGCGCCTCCGGCCAAATCTTCACCAGAGGCCCGGGTAACTACAAGATACCCGGTTTCCGTGATATCCCGCAGATCTTCAATGTCAGTTTGCTCAAGGATGTTGAGTGGGAGAACCTCCGTACGATCCAGCGCTCTCGTGGTGTCGGTGAACCGCCGTTGTTTATGGGTAGTGCGGTCTTCTTCGCTATCCGTGATGCGTTGAAAGCTGCGCGTAAGCAGTGGAATGTTACTGATGTGCTTCATCTGGAAAGTCCGGCTACTCCTGAGCGGATCCGGATTAGTTGTGCTGATCCGATTATTGAGCGCGCTAGGGTTCAGCCAAAGGAGGGGGAGAAGAGTTTCTTTGTTGCTATTTAAATTATACGACTTCATGAATTGTTATTTGTATGAGGAAATGCCATTTTGATTTTGGTACTATATCATATCAGACTGTATCGATATCTCTCTTCATTCTTAACCATCCTGTAGAACCAGATAGGTGACGACACCAAAATCTGTTATCTTTTGTTTTCTTTAGAGGATAAATTGCCTTGTTGCTGGGAATCATTATAATACAACGCCAATTTCACCGAGAGTAATGCCTAAATACTTCCCCGAATGCGATGATACAAACAAAAAAAGAAATTCCGCGAAGTAAACATGTCCACGAAAGAGAAAACCCCCTCATCGCTTCACATCATATTCAACATAACTGCTTCCCCTAAAATCAGGCCCGGCATCCACCTGCAGCGCATTTCCATAATTCCTCTGCCCAGCAAACCCAACCTTCTCATCCCCATAAGGAGGCCCACCTTGTACAGGCGCAGAACTCGCCGAAGCAGCCGTATACTGAGGAGCCGCATGTCCATCGGCAGTCAAACTTCTCGGCATAGCCGTAAGCGGGACTTCGTCGAAGCCATGAGCATCATGGACAGGCTGGGGACCATGTGGACCATGTGGAACAGGATCAAGAATGTGGCCTTGACCACCCTCCCCGCGAGGCTTCTCGCGACCCCAGAACAGGAGCATGGCGCGACTGATACCGATCAAGGCGATGAAAACCCAGACTAGCAGGATGCATGTTGCAATAATTGCTTCGATGCGCACTGCTTCTTCTAGTTTGTTGATGACGCGAATGACGACTTCGGTTATTTTGTTGGATGTCTCGTCGCCTGCGTCGGCGAGGAAGCTGTCGGATGGGTTTGAGGTGCTGTTTATGCTGTCTGAGGCTCCTGCGGAGAATGTGTCGTTTGGGAATGTCGGTAGGGAGATGTGTGCGTGGTCGACTATCCAGTCTAGACCCTTTTGCATTGATTCGGCTTTGAGCTTGACTAGGCAGTAGTACAGGTCGTTGACGGGGCCTTGGAGGACGGTGCCTGAGAATGTGGAGTTCAAGGTGTCGGATGTGTTGGAAATGAAGAAGTTGAGGGTTCCGTTGATGTATCCTGCAGTTTTGTTGACCCATCCAAAGACGTCGTCGTTGAGGCCACTGTCAACCTTGTCGATGGCCTTGTTGGCGTCGGTGGCCCATTCAACTGAGGCGTTTTGTAAGGCGCCAACGACCTTGTCTGCGAATTCGCCCACCTCGGCGCTCAGCTCGGGAATGGTCTTCTTCACTTGGTGAAGAAGCAACCATTGGCAGAAACATGCGAATAGTGCCGCCAAAGCAAGAGCCAGCACGAAGAGTGCGGGTAACGATGTTGCGTAGGCGACGGCCCATCGAACGAGGATTTGGCGACGGCTGTTGCTGAAGCGGCTTGCAGCTTTGATACCCGCTGCAGCTGTGTACGGCCGCGAGACAATGTAGACAACGTCCATTGGGTCGTGAGCCTCCTTGCGTACCAATTGAGACCGCTCTTTCATTGAGCGCCATCGTCGTATTTCTTGCCATGCAACAGGAATGCACACTAAGATGGCTACAATTAGAAGAACAGCAATGAAGATCTTGCGCGCTGTGACAGCCAGGCTGGTGACACCATCGAAGAAATCGTTGATTCCGCTGTTGTCATCGCAGAATGCCAACTGCTTCTTTGCAGGAATTGGAAGAGCGGAAGAGTCAAAACTGTATGCGCCCAAAGTGTCATTGACTAGGTCCCGGAGCTCCTTGAAGGGCAACATGATGAGCTTCTTAGCATCGGCCTGAAGGGTTGTGAAGTCGGGCAGGATGAGATCGTCCATTTTCGAGATTGTGTCATTGACTGATGAAGGCAATGACAGATTCTCCAGTGTATCTATTGTGTTGTTGAGATCAAGAGGCTTGAAGTCCTTGTCGAACAAGGTGGCCGCAGTGTTGAACTTTGAGATTATGGTGTCCACTTCGCTCTGGTATTTGCCAACAACGCCCTCAATGTCGTCGCCGATTCCGACCAGGGTCTTGTTGATCCATCCGGTAGCTGCCTCGACAACTTCAATGCCAGCTTTGATTGTGCCATTGACAGCCACGGCGATTAGACAGGCGTAAGTAGAGTACATCATGTTGAGGACGAAATAGATGATTTCTCCGAGGGCCGTGATGGTAAGTAGCAACATAGTCTTCAAGCCATCAACAGCATCGTCAACAGCAGAAGCTGTGAGCTTGTTGACACCTGTGGAGAGGTAGTAGGGCATTGAGGCCATCGCGCTACCCATGGATTCCACAGATGTACACGCGGACAAAGACTCTCGCTTGGCAGACGCCATGTCGGATTGTAAGGAGCCGACTGCAATCAAAAGCCGAACGAGAACAAGCAACAGAAGTATGGTCCATCGGTTGATCCATACTTGTGACAGTCGAGCCCTGAGGCCGAGATAAGGAGTGAGACCGTCTGGATGGAGAGGGATTATGCGCCCTGTACTGGAGTCGTGAGCCCCATATGGTGGAAGCAGGGGAAATATCGTTCTTCCGGACTGAGAGAATAGCATCGTGATTGATTTTGCTTCAAAACTATCGCAGTTGTTGACGGCTTTTGGTGTGATCCCGGCCAGCGAAAATCTGCACAGAGATTCGGAAATAGAATCGAAGTCAAGAAAGATTATGCAAAGTCTGCATCAAAGCAGGGTATCGTCGAGAATAAAGAAAGAGAAGGAAAGAAAAGGAAGTGACCAGCCTAGCAGCGGAGCATGCTGTATATAATGTTATATTGAGGGTGAATGAATGGGAGGTCAATAGATGAGTAGAACGGGTGGCGGAATGAGAACAATAGAATCAGAATGAAACATGGAACAAAGAGCCATCAAATATAGCAGTCGGAAAACCTAGGCTGTAAGTTGTCAGACATCCTGGGCGGCAGCAGACATTACCAAAGGCCTAATTTGTTAAATAAAGAATCGGTTCGATGGAGTTGCCAACCCGGTAAAGGTGGGACAGCCACTCAAGAGTGAATCATGACCATGTCGAAACAAAGGAAACATAAAAATAAAGCCTGAAGACAGGAGATCTGTACCAGGGTTTGTTTCAGGTATCACCGATGCATGTAACTGGCTGATGTTGTTGTCAAAAGCGCCGGGGTAGCAAAATCGCCAAATATAGCTGCCGTGGGCGCTTAGCCGCTCACGACTTGAGAGCCAATAGCTGCATCGTCAGAGCTGGCACCTCGAACGTCTGTCATTTTTTTACAGCAGGCATTGAAGTCCTGTGCCATGTGGGTAGATGTATTTTTGCTTGAGCAAGTCCTGCTAACTTAGTCATTTTCTAGTTGCTTAGTACTCGGTGACTTGGTGTGAATGGATTCACCGAGTCGCAGTTTCGAGTGCAGACCGGCATTTTCTGAAGAAGAATTTCGAGTCATGAAAGGCTCTGTGATTGTATTGCAGCTAGTCCTAACGTTATTGCGGCTTGTTTAGGAAGTAGATAAACAGATCAAGTACACTGAAGGATTGCCGAGGATCGAGTCGTGGCGCTATCGCCGGCGCCAAATCAAGGCGGTCACGTGATATTCACATGAACCGTGCATCCAGTGACCCACGTGATGCATCGCACCCTAACAACATGCAGAACGACATGTCTTGGGGTTCCGTAAAAGAGGCAAAGGTTGACGATAAATCCACAAATCAATTGCTGTAATAGTTTCTGAGCCTGATCCTCTGTACTGAGGTATCTTGTATCTTCTTCTGAGCTGTCGATAGCTGTCTGAGCAACGCCGGTACGCCTCTTGTAGGGCCAACATGACAGCAAGAAGCAACTTCGATCTATGAGACAGGATCATGATACTATGTGTAGTATATGTCTATTTCAGTTGATTCAGGCCGTTAGTTAGTTCAGTTCCTCATAAATTACAAACTTGCAGTTTGAGCGGCCTGAAAAATTGTATGCTTATGTCGCCGCTTCAGCTTGATAGATGGATACAATTCAATGATAGACCGTCATTTAATTACTACCATAACACGTATTAAGGACTTGGTTTGGTGGAAATCCACGGAAGTCTGAAGCTCTTCTCGGACTCGCAGATAATCAATCATGGCAGCTCACGATCTTCTTCGGATGCCACCTTCACTTGACCGAAGCATCCCCTCCAAAATTAACCCAGTGAGGTCACTGAGCTTCCTCATTGACCCTGGGAAGTTCCTAGATATCAATCTCAAAGTAATTGCGTAGTACAGAGCTCCTGACGGGTCTTTCGGCGAAGCTAATCGCGCTAGGTGGACAATCTCAGATGGTCAACCACGAACGCTTCCTTGGACGCGCCTGATCACGAAAGCAACCCAACATCTTACTGTAAGTCGGGTGCCAAATTCGTGGTCCGTAGCTTCCAAGTCAAGTGAGTCGCAGCTTTCGACCATCCCCATCCCCTTTTCGTTTCCCATCTCTTGCTTCTCTTCCCATCCCTTTCATCCGTGATCATCTCATACAATCAATGTCCACCTCTTGCATCATCGTTAAGACACACAAGATCGTTTGATCTGATTCAGTTGCCTGAGAAGTCCCTTTCTGGGGAATCGTGAGCATTCACGACTCCTTTTCCATCGTGAGTTCAAAAGGCCTGGTCGCACCCTGTACCCTGTATTCTGCAATCATCCCCTTCCATACACCTCTGTGAGCTCCTTCACATGCATCAGAGTATCTGCTTGCTTTCATGCAAGGCATCCTGCATGGTGCCAAGTTCACACATCTGTCCTGCTCACACGGGAGCAAAACAACGAGTCCTCTGACAGAGACATCATCACCCTCGGTGGACGTGAGCTGACAAGCAACCAAGCAGACAAAACATCATCATCGTGCGACCGAGGAAAAGAACCTCGTCATCGCTTCACATTTGAAGCCAGGTATGTACCAAGCAGCTTCCATTGCCATCAACAAATGAAATGAGACTGACAGATTCTCGACACAGACAATCCGGTTCTGGGCGAACCGTGCAAAGTTTAACCTGCTGCTTCTAAGAACTGCTAGCAGATTCGAAGAAACTCGGTAGACACTTTGGCTTCATCAATCCAGCTCCTATATATATAACCTTTGCTGATACATTGGTGCATTGCAGGAGAGAAGCCTCATCAAAGAGACCCGGCTGAGGTTCGAGTTGCAGCCTCCAACAGATCGTGAGCCCTTGAGAATTGAAACCCATCCAAGAATACTGACTGACAATGAGTATAGATCCTCATCTTCACAATGTCATCGGACATCACCCAGCCAGCCATGGATAGCGCCCTCCGCCCAAAAGCCATCAAGGTGGCGAAGCTCGAGAACCTCCTGAAGGGAATCGGTTATCCCTACCATAACGAGAGCACCAAACTGGAGATCGGTAACGGTGTTATGGAACTGTGCATCGGAAACTGGAAGTCGGAGTGGCCCACTTTTGACCTGCACAAGACCGACGATGCCCGTCCTCAAGGGGGGTTCCAGCTGAAGGTCACGGACCAGGACATGGTTGTTACATTTGTGATCAAGGGCAACTATCCCTTCGGAATGGATGGATTGTGTGACAATCTGGCCGACATGTTTCAGATGCCCGAGGATCTCGGGATGTCCGATTTTATCGTGGGAAAAGCTGCGGTCACCAAAACCATGAAGACGAAGAAGAAGGGGACGGAAAAGTGGTCAACTCCATTCACAACCTTCGGGTGCCGAGTGAACTGGATGACCAGCAATGATGATCCTGACTTGCTGAGGTACAAGTTTCTGCCGACGAAACCTTTGGACCAAGATGAGCAGATCATTGTCAACATTAACAAAGGCAATGTCAACTTCCTGGGTGTTGCCCAATCAAATCTGGTAAGTATTCTCATGCAAAGAGTCTTGTGAGATGAGTACTAACAATTCACTATTCACAGACTGAATACGGAGAGGCCATGGCTGTGCCAATTCGGATCTGGCTGTGCACCAAGTGGATGGCGGAGAAGTCTGGCGGCGCAGACAACAATCTGTTTGGCAAGATGTCAACCACTGATATCCCCAAAACTGCGCGCAGTATCAATCCCCGGAAGCTTGAGCATACCTCTTCGGAGGAACCAGAAGGTCAGGGGCAACGCCCGGAAGTGGTGGATCGTCAAGCGGCAATGGATGAGAGTGTCTCCGATCTCGATTCCAGCGCTGAAAAAAGCAATGAGCGTTTGATGGCAGAGCTCACGTTTGGTGATGGCGGTGATACTGCGATTGACGCTTATACTCCGGGCCTAGCCTTACGTGGTGACTCTTTGCTGGGTGTGCAAAACCAAGAGAGCAGTCCAACTGCTCTGACTGAGCGACGACTAGCCATCGTTGGCAATCTCACAGTCACTGTACCCCAGCTATCTCTTACTCCCACTGCCTTGACGACCACCATGACATCGTCATACGAGACAGCCCGATCTCACCTCTCACCTCCCGCGTCCTCCCCCGACTCTCCTCTCTCTCCTTTCAGAACCACCCCATCGGGTAGAGAAGAGGCAGATGAAGGGGAAGTGTGCGAAGAGTCAGAAGAATTGGCCTCACCTGGTGATCAGCCGATTCTTACTTCGCCGACTACGGAGGTTGCATGTGAGCTTCGGTACCCTGTCTCGGGGAAGGACGAGCTGTGTTTTTCTGGTAAGTTTATCTGATACCTGCGCATCATCACTACAAGCTCAATTGACTGACTCAATTTCCTTAGACCCTGAAGACTACACCAACTACCGCGCGGTGGTTGTTGCGGTGGACTTCCCTCGCGAGGAGTCCACCGATGCGGTCAGACTGGGTAAGTACATTCCGTTCCATCTCCTTCATTTGCTTCGAACAGAGACTAATCCATATCCCAGGCCTGTTCGAAGGGCCCCAGAAAATCACACGTTCGTCCTTCCCGGCCGACTTCACCTTGTCCCTTGACCTGATTGAGGGAGGGTCTACAGCAGACGAGGAGCAATCCGCAAAGGCTGGTGTTCGGGTTCACGTCCAGGACCCAGTCTGCTCCGAGTCTAGCTCCCTTCCCATGACGGTCAAGACTTCCCAGGAGAAGGAGAAGTACAACTCTTACAGGCTTGGTCACATGTCTGGTACTGACTCTTCGTCGGGCAATGGTGGAGAAGGCCACCACTCATCTCCCCTCGCGGGAATCACCAAGGAAGTAGGATCCCCCACAGCCGAGCAGGAGGGCGACAACCTCATTTCCGAAGTATGTAGACCCCGAACCCTTGCCAAGGCCGTTTTTCCTTGTGCGCTTGAAGGGTGTCGGGTGCTCTGCAGTCTTACGGACGAAATGAGTGTTGTGTGCCCGAAGTGCGGACCGTATTCATCGGTTCGCTACTGCGGCAAGGAACACCTGTGGGATGACGCCATTGTGCACTGGGAGCATTGTGGAGGGTATTCCCTCCCATACCAGTGCCTGGCAGGACCGCTTCCAGAGGAGATTCTCGTGGGTCCACCCATGGTGCCAAGCTTTCATGGCTGGGACAGCCCTGAACGTCATCGTCAGGCGCTGTGGTTCAGTTCCGCGACCAATCAAGGCGATTATTTCGTCTTCGCGGACTCTGTTCTCAACCAGCTAAGATCGATTGGCACTCCAGTAAGTCACGGGCCACGTTGTTCAACCCGAGTCGTACTCATCGTGCGATTCGACAACCCCATACAGAAGGATCGCTTCCGTCGTCTGATGGCGATCTGCCTGTTTGGTAAATTTACCAGTCCTGGCACATCATTCCTTTCACGCTTTCCCTTTTTTTTCAGTCTCCTGTTTCTTTGAAATCGGCTGCTAACTGTCTCTTAGGGGGTGTTGAATATCGTGGTCTCGTTGGCGTTCTTTTCCGGTTTATCCGGGGCTGGATGAAGTTCCATCGAGTATGGGACCGCATGGAGGGGAACATTCTGGTTGATCAACTTGAGCGAGAGATGGGCGTCTTTATCCCTACCTCGCACATTTGTCAGCACAATGTTCGGGAGAATGAGTGGACTGGAGCCGACCAATGCCCCTTCGACGAATCAACCCACAGGCACTGTGTGCCGCCGCAACAAAGACTTCAAGAAGATCTAGAGGGGGGACGGGGTCTCGAGGGACTGTGCAATGACCTGGAGTCCACTTGTTGGATTCTGCGAGCACACCGAACCACCCACCCTACGATCAGAAGTGTGGTGGCCCGCGTGCGTGGTGATGGTTTCGAGGGGGTCCTGCCATGGGACCGACGTGGTTGGCGTCGGGGCGAAGGTTGGGACGGGTTTGGCAATCCCGCCGAATGGTAGGTGTGGAGGGCGGGGGATGGTGGGTGGTGTGGTGGATATGGGCATGTATCGGGATCCTGGACCTGGGGTGGTGGTTGAGAACTACTTTCAGATGACTGGTGTTGCGTGGATGAGCCCCCAAGGTTCCAGGATGCCCCTTTTTGTAAATAATTTTGTTGGAGTACTTGTACGATTATTACCTGTCAGAGTACAAGGAAGCACAGATGGGGAAGTGATGTCCCCTTTTTTGTTTCCAATTGAACAAAAAGTTCCGTGGTATTTGTGGCCCGGTTTTGATGTTCTCCACGTTTCTTTCGTGTTGTAGTTCATCAGTAAGAGCGATGTATGTGCAACTCTAACACTGCATTATGCCAAGCAACAGTAGACCGGCGGAGACAGCTACATGTATGTTCGACGATCATTTTGAGCCTCATGGTTATTGAAATCCCTCATGAGAATCTAAAGGTATTGATTCTATCCAACTTGAGCTGGCGTACAAAACTATGCCTGCTATAACATTCTGTCCTCAATTGACCTCTTTCTTTCCCGTCAAAGTAGTCGTAAATTAAAAAGGGAAAGAAATATTCATTACAAAAACATGTGACATTGAAAATAATCACAGCAAAGCAACAGCGGCAGCAGCAACCATAGGAGCAACAGTAACAAAAGCAGCAGCAGGCCCAGCAGCAGCAGCACCAGGAGTCTTAGTAGCCTCAGGAGCAGTAAAAGAATTCACACCGCCAGTAACAGTCAACTGATAGTACGACCCATCAATCGGCGCAGTGGTATACGTCGCATGACTAGTAGTTGAAGACTGGTATTTCCCGCCATCCAGAGACCCACCCATCCCAACACTCATAGTACAGCTAGCAGACTCAGTGGAGGATTTGAGCGAGCACTCATAAGACTGCGTGATAGTGATATCGTAGCTTTGGGTCTTGTCGGAAGTCGAGGCGATGTATTGGCCGGTCATGCTGACTGTCTCGGCGCCTTGGATGATTGTCCAGGAAGCTGGGTAGTTGCAGTCGGATTTGGGGGCGTCTTTGAGGCAGCCGACGTGGTAGGTTGTTGCTTTGGCGTTTATGCCGGCTACACTGGCTGCTGTACTTGTCCAGCCGCCTAGTTCGAGGAGGGTTGCGCTCCAGGATGGGGAGAAGTAGCCGATGATTGTGCTTGAGTCGTCTGCTTTGGCAACGGCAGCCAGGGCAGCGGCGAGGAAGATTGAGGTGCGCATTTTTGGAAGGGTCTGTTTCTGTTTGGGATAAAGGGAGACTGCAGAGAACGATTTAGAACGGGGGCTTGTCCTTTTTAAATATGGGAATCAGGCTAGTCATATATGCTTGTCTTCGCTTAATTGGCTCTGGAAACTGAGGCAACATGCCTCTACGCATTAGACTGCTTCTTCATGGGCCTGAGTCACAGTTGTTGATCACTCATTGGATCTTGGAACGCCGTGGCGGAGCGAAAGACAGGGCTAAGATGTGGCTACTAGATCACTAGTGAGGTAGCGGAAAGTTCGTATAGCGGACCAGCTTAACTTCGTTTAGCGTTTGCTCGGTCTAAGACATTATTTCTTTTTACGGTCTAGTTTGCCTAATTAGCGCACTTGCCCCCTTGAATGTTTGTACAAATATATTAAACTCCGGGGATAAAGGAAATGATAAATTCAAAATAGAGGGGGGAATTGTTTGCTTCTATTTGAACAAGCACATTTCCAGCACGGATATTTTCCATCTGCGTTGGCAGTAAAGCATGAAATATCCCAATTTGTGTTACAGTAGTTGCAACACTGGTTTAGCAGTTGGGGGCGAAAAAAGCTGCAAATGTATCATGTGGCCACCGTGGATGATATTTGTCGGTAAATCTGTATCCGTAGAGCTAGCTTAGCGCAATTTCTAGAGGCTCTCGGACCATTCGGTTACATTCAGTGTTACATGTATGGTCCAAAATTGAAAAAGTGTGCTTTGACTATCGGGGTCTAGCTCCGCCGGGGGCCGCCTTCTCCGGCCTTATGAGGCTCTGTGGTCCACTCAATGGATTGTCGCCTTGATGCACGGACAGCTGGGACCCAATGGTCATTCAGGCCGGGCTATCGTGTGGTGCATTCTGTGGCTTCACAATTTGCGGTTTATTTGGAAGTTGTGAAAGTGGGAAATAACTGCAATCTGCGAGTACACTGCGAAATATATGTTTATAAAAGTTCTTGCTTTACCTAAACAAAATAGTTAGGATGGAATGAATACCACAAACTAAAGTATACTATCCATGGATGCAGATAGCTATGATGTCTTAGAAATATATCACTTAATGCGCCAAGCACTAACTAGGGCTAGGATTGCCGGTAGAAACTGGAGTAAGGAAGTGTTGACGTTTCAATTGCCAATGAGGGCCCAGCTATCGATCTGATAGCTAAAGCTTGCTAATTGGCGATAACTAATCCTATGCAGGTTTTATGTTAGGTTACAGGGTACTTTGTTAGAAGTATCTCTTCCCGGAGTAAACATAAATTATCTCTTTCTTAACCAATTTACTTACTATATACGTTTACCCCATCTTTCATCGTATGTGATAACAAAAAGAACTAGGAATATAGAGATGATTGAAAACAAATTTCTAAAAATTGACGGACCAATGCCTTTAGACTATTAAACATTATATTCGCTTCGAGGCTTTCGTGAAAGTTAGGGACTGTCCAATACTTCATGGCACTGTATACCCATTTATGACCTCTGTTGCATACATGTAATTTTCTATGGACAGAATCAGGCTGTACATGTAGATTCAATCGATATGACACATCTGCATATTTATATTCATCTTTCTACGTATCGTCATCACAACATTTCTACGGTTCAGAATATATCTCAGCATCCCAGCCATTTCGAAAATTTAGAGAGTGATATACTTCTTGAGACCCCTCAGGCGTTCCTTGGCAGTCTCGAGAACATCATCATTCTTGCAAACAGCAAAGCGGAGATAGTCCTCTGCAATGTGAGAGTTGGCATCGGTGTAGAACTCAGTCGGGGGGATAGCAGCAACGCCGACCTCCTGGATGAGGAACCAGCAGAGCTTGAAATCCCGAGGACGGTTGGCAACGTGGGCTGGGAAGGGGTAGTCAGCTGGGAGCTTGACGGAGGCCATGTTGGCCAGGACGAAGTATCCACCCTCGGGGTCAGAGTACTGCAAACATTACTTGTCAGTGACTTGGATACCACAAAGGGCTGCAGAGTAGACCATGATCACATACCGGGATACCAAGTTCATCAAACACCTCGCAGAAGCGCGAGATCTTGTTCTTCATGTCTGTCCGGCTCTCATCCCAGAAACCCTCCTTCTCGGCTTGCTCAAAGGCTACAGCGGCGGCTTCCTGGAGAGGGGACACACTGCTGTAGCAGATGCGGGTGTGAGCACCAGCAACGTACTTGATCAGATGCTCGGGTCCGATCAGGTATCCGACACGCCAGCCAGTGGCATAGAAGGCCTTGCCGGCGGAGCCCACGGTCAGAGTGCGCTCGTACAGCTGAGGAGAGAGGGTAGCAATTCTGGTGAATGGAACGTAGAACAGACGGTCGTAGACTTCATCAGAGAGAATAATAAGGTTGTGCTTAACGCAAAGGTCACCAATACGCTCGAGTTCTTCGCGCGAGAAGACCTTGCCGACGGGGTTGTGGCTGTGTACATGTTAGCAGATGTCTCAAACCAAGGATCAAGGTTGCTCACGGAGAGTTCAGAACGATCATCTTGGTCTTGGGGTTGATGGCCTTCTCAAGCTCCTCGAAGTTAATGGTCCACTCCGATGCAGGAGAGGTCCGGGTAGCACCATCCTTAGGTGGTTGAAGGGGTACATATCGGATAGTGCCACCGGGCATCTCGATGTTGCTAATATATCTATTCGCATAGTTAGCAGCTGTCGATCCTTTTCTAATGCAAGGCACCTTACTGGTCAAAGAAGGGCTCGAAGATGATGACTTCATCACCGGGTTCAATGAAGCCCATGAAAGCACTGAGCATGCCTGATCGTCCGATGTCAGCGCCAATTCCCCAGCCATATATGTAGATGGCGCCATTTACTCACCTTCATTTGCGCCGGTTGTGATCGTGACCTCGGTATCGGGGTTGATGGTCTTGCCGAAGAAAGGCGAGTATGCGTCCGCAATGGCTTGCTTGAGACGAGGGCGACCCTATATGCTGTGAGCATACTGTACTGTCTGCGCGGGGCTGTGGGTATGTCCCACCTTGGTGGGGGAGTATTGGTTGCATTCGACTCGGTCCAGCGCATCCTTTGCAGCATCGAGAGCGAACTTGGGAGGGTTATAACCACTGTCCACAAAAATTGATTGTCAATGTTCGTTCCTTGAAGCATTGCGACATCGACATCTTGGGTGACTCACAAGAACCCTTGGCCCATGTTCACGATCGGCTGAACCGGTGAAGCTGCGGCGGCCTCATTGACGATGGACCTGGAGTAACAATTCAGTATTCTTCCTATAGCTTTCCAAATGCCATGCCATACCACACATCCTGTCGCTGTCCTGCCACCCGCGCAGCGGGGCGGAACGGATCGGGTCGCGCAGCTGTTGCCGACATCGGTCTTGCGCCGAAACCAGAGAGGCGGGGTAAGGTAGGTGAGAGGGATACGGTTAAGTTCTTGAAGTGAGCGAAGGTAGAGAGGAGAGTTGAGCGACTGAGAATCATGAGTGACAAGTTGAAGAAAAGAAGTTGGGGAAGTTGATGTTGCCCGCAAATGGCGTGCTCGGATTAGGCTTCGGAAATGTGCCGAATCCCACTCTATACAGCTAAGTAGTGACAGCTACAATGATGTGTTCTGGTGATGTTAGGCCAATCGAGAAATATTGAGCATTTACTTAATTATAACTGACTGGACAGTGCTTGTTTGATGCTCAGGCACCAAGGCGGCTGACATTACTAATTACAGGCGCGTCTTGCATAACGCGTCTCTCTCCGTCTCCGTCGGAGATAGCGGGCGTACCTAACAATTACTCGACTCGAATCTTCCTTCGTGACCAGCATAGTTTGCAATCATGGTTTCCTGTCCGATATGTGAAAAGCCTGTCTCACAATTAAAGATCAACGATCACATCGACTCCGGCTGCCAGAGCTTCATCGAAGAACCCTCCTCTTCTCCAGGAGACGCATCCTCCTCCCAGAAAGGCCCTGTTCCAAGCATCTTTCAGCCTGCATCCGCTCGAAAGGCCTCCGCACAGTCAAATATCACGAAAGAGTCCCCATCGCGTCCAGCAACAACCCCGCGCCCGCTCAACGGCAAGAGATCATTCGCCCAGGAGGAGACAACCCAAGAACGTGGGCCAAAGCAAACAAATGGCGAGTCTATAGAGCCGCAGGCAAAGCGCCCCAAGGTCAATGCCTTCCACAAAGCTGCACCACTAGCAGAGCGTATGCGGCCCAAGACACTGGAGGAAGTGTGCGGCCAGGAGCTTGTCGGCCCGAATGGTGTCCTGCGTGGGCTCATCGAACAAGATAGGGTACCAAGCATGATTCTGTGGGGCAGTGCAGGGACAGGCAAGACAACAATCGCTCGAGTTATTGCCTCGCTGGTGGGTAGCCGCTTCGTGGAAATCAACAGCACAAGTAGCGGCGTCGCAGAGTGTAAGAAGATATTCGCCGAGGCTCGCAGTGAGCTTGGCCTGACTGGGCGCAAAACGATCATTTTCTGCGATGAAATCCACCGCTTCTCCAAATCACAGCAAGATGTCTTCCTGGGCCCTGTGGAGAGTGGCCAGGTCACCCTGATCGGAGCGACGACTGAGAACCCTTCGTTCAAAGTCCAGAATGCGCTCCTTTCACGATGTCGGACCTTCACTCTTTCAAAGCTCACTGACGAGGATGTCACCTCCATTCTCCACCGCGCTCTCCGTGTTGAAGGCCCGAGTTATTCACCCTCTGACCTGGTGGATGAAGAACTGGTCCAATATCTGGCCAAGTTTGCCGATGGAGATGCTCGTACATCGCTCAATCTGTTGGAGCTCGCCGTGGACCTGTCAAAACGGCCTGGTATGGACAAGGAAGATCTGAAGAAGTCCCTGACCAAGACCCTTGTGTATGACCGTGCCGGAGACCAGCATTATGACACCATCTCCGCCTTTCACAAGTCCATTCGAGGCAGTGATCCGGACGCCGCGCTGTATTATCTCGCTCGCATGATCCAGTCGGGCGAAGATCCACTGTACATCGCTCGGCGGCTGATCGTGGTCGCTTCGGAGGACATTGGCCTAGCTGATAACACAATGTTAACCCTGGCCACCTCCACCCATGCTGCTGTTGAAAAGATCGGTCTTCCAGAGGCGCGGATCAACCTGGCGCATGCCACTGTGGCGATGGCACTGTCGAAGAAGAGCACTCGCGCGTATCGTGGCTTGAACAACGTCTTTGCCGCCTTGAACGAACCTGGGATCGCCGGTTTGCCTGTTCCTGTTCATCTGAGGAATGCACCGACCAAGCTCATGAAGGAGATGGGTTATGGTGCAGAGTACAAGTACAATCCAAACTATGTTGATGGTAAGGTGCGGCAAGAGTATCTGCCAGAGCAGCTGCTGGGTCGTACCTTCCTAGAAGACTTGGATTTAGGCACTCAGAGAGACCGTGACTTGAACACTTACTGAAGAGGCTGATGGTCTATTGTTCTTCAATGCTCGAAGTCATACTAACATCCAATGACATCCATATGGCCCTGAACTATAAGGCACAGCAGTATACATCTGACCGCCTGAGTATCAATTATACTGCACAAATTGACTCAACTAAGCCTATTTGGGCCTGTTAATAACAAGCATCATGACATGACTCTGTCGTACTTGCTTCTGCTCAGTGACTCCTGGGGTTTGGTGGATTCTCATTGGTTGGCAACACTTTCATACTCACTTTCATTTTCATTGGAGACTTGCAACCGAACCATTTATACTCTCGTTTTCTGTGCTTGGTCATTTTCAGAGGGCATTTCTGCTTATACTACAGCCTGTCCTCGCCTTCTCCTCACTCCTTCCTGCCTCACCTTATGGGCACTGTCCCACTCTTTACCCAGGCTTGTCATAGCCCTCGATCATTTCCCGGTTTTACGGGAGCAGCCATGGCGGCTCAGGCTGCAAACGCTGAAGCTCAAGGGTTGGCATCCAACTCTCGCCCCACGAAGCGCAGACGTCTCGAAGGATCGACCCCTGTCACCTGTGTGAGTTTGGTCCCTCTTAATCCATCTAATGGCTCTGTGGTCTATCACATTATGTACCATCAACGCTAATATCAACGTTTCAGCCCTCCATGCGCTTGATTGCCCCTGCTCCACCTCCATTGTTCCCAGTTATTGCGTCTCAGCAAGAGCCTGTCGAGGGAGAAGACTTCTTATGTCTAGATCCTTATACGGCGATAGCATCCGATTCTCTTCGTATGCTTGGGCCTGCACATGACCCACAAGTTATGCACCACTCGCCATCTATGCACCGCCTAGCACCCTTGGTTCTTCCACCCGGGCCCGTCAACTTCATCCACGTGGATCCAACCAACCGACAACGGTCTCCCCGCGAAAAGAGACCTCGCAGCAAGGCCGAGATAGACAAGCAGAAAGCAGACTCCTCCGCTCTCAGAAAGGCTGGTGGTGCGTGTCTGTGGTGCATGCGATCTAGGAAGAGATGTGTACCCCAGAGCCCATGCAATTTCTGCTATACTAGCGAGCAACGTATCTGCATTCGAGAAGCGGAGCACCTGTATCTGTTTGGAAAGCCTCCTGGGTCTCCGTTTCCAGCTACACAGTTGCCATCCGTGGAAGGGCGCCTTACTTTGGAGGAGATGGAACGCACGGCCTTCTCTGAGACGACAGAATTCCAAGCGGTTTTGAGTGTCTGCCAAAAAGATACTTTTCTTGAATCCCGGGCTTGGATTGTCACTAAATCAAAATGGGATTTGATGGAAAATGAAGCTCTCGTTGATTCATTCATCGACATGGCTATCAGCTGTCTTGAGTGCGCTGAATTATCTGAACTGGAAGCTTCATACTCTAACCCACTGGTTCGGAAGGCACTCCAAATGGCAAGGCTATTCATGACCACCCGATGCATGGTCAAAACTCGCATCTTTGCACCAACAGCGGATGTTGCGTCTGGAAGGCTCGTGATGTTCTTTGTTTTAGTCCGCTGCGTGAGGCGACTAGCCGAGATGTCTTGGGCATTATGCTTTTTGCTGTATGAATCCTTGCGTCACAAAGATATGGGGGATTACAAGCCTAAGACCAACAAAGATCTCGATCCTGTCTGGGTCGCTACGGCACTCTACACTCGGACTGCGAACGGCTTAAACGCTCTGCGAGACAACCCAGTCATTGAGAAGATTCTTGGTCCTGGGTGTCAAATAGACGTGATTTGCCAGGTCATTGGAAATATTTTGGATCACACCTTTCCCCGGCAGAAGTACGTAAGCACGTCTCGAATCAGGGGGACTTTTGAAGCGGCAATCCCCCAACTGTCATCTCCGTTCTCGTCTTTCGATATAGCCTTCTTGCAGGGACCATCTGACAGGCAAGGGTCTTATCTTCCCCCAGAATCATGCTATCTGATGACTACCTTCTTAAGTGCTGGGTTTCTTCCATCTGATTCGCCGCTTCCTTGGTCCTCAGAAGTTGCCGAGGCACTGATGACAATCAGGGCCTCGCCTGCGGCACCTATAAGCACGACACAAGACGCCGAGAACGATTCATCTTTTGTAAACTTGGATTCGACCATCCCACTCGGTATGCTCCAGGATGCTGATCAAACTCTTGGTGTTGATACACTTTGGCGTTCAGGCTCTTTGGAAACCTTTGGAAGTACGGACTCAACTGAGACCCTTGCCGAATTGCCCGATACTGTACCCGGGGACTGGGCTTTGACTGATCCGAGTATGGCCTTGAATCTCGACGTCTTTGATACCATTTCTGGTAACAGTTCCTATTGCAGCTGTTGCAGTTACTGCTGTGATCATGATGCGGACACTGAAGGGTGTTGCTGTATCACTGAATGTTCTCTTGGCAAGTGTTATTGCCCATACGGTCGAAGCCCATGTTAAGCTTGTTTGTCTTTTTCTGTTCTTTTTGCCCTACTTCTATACACCTTGGTAGAAGCGAGGTGATTGCTGTTATTTGGCCATGCCTTTGAATTGTGTTATTGTTATGGCATACATGTACTCTCAAACGAGTCAGACGCAAGAAACATGGAAAGCTTTGCTTGAGATAGTTGATACCCAATTGCTTATAACTCAGTCATGCCAGTAATTAATCAAATCACATTAATTCTGGAAACCACTTACAAATATCGAAATCCCAAATCTGTAGAAAAAGAAAACAGCCGGGAGGCGGCGTTGGGTATCATTCCGCCCGCGTCGCGTCTCAAGAATCCTCCCACCGCCAACACCCCAACTCTCCATTCCCAAGGGCTGAAGTCCCTCTATTCCAATTAATGCTGGCGAACCCGATCCTTGCATCTAAATAAATCTTGAACGCACCACTTGCCATGGCCTCCGGCCAACCTTTCGCGTCGCGCTCGTTCGCCGGCACGAAAATACCCGACCGCTCTGTCAACGCGAACGCCTTGCCCTTCAGCGCCTCGTCGTTCTCCCGGCATCGCGGCCTCGCCAATCCCGGTGCAGGCGAATTCGGCGCCGACGTTGCGAAGCAGACACAGCAGAATGCGCAGCCGACGACAAACGCGCAGTCTCACGGTCCTGCGCAGGATACCAATCCGCTCAACCGCTTGACGGAGGAGCAGAGGGAGGAGATCAACGAAGCTGTAAGGGATCCCCGAACTGTTCATGATTTGATATGGCACTACAATCGCCTCCATCCAACTGGAGATGTCATACTACATAACCCAGATCCAAACTGGACAGCCAAATCGCAACCCCTCAGACCTGAAACCTGAAACAAGCAAAAACTAACACCACACCTCCACCCATCCAGTTCACCCTCTTCGACCTCGACCGCGACCGCCACCTCGACTACCACGAACTGCGCGTCGCTTTCCGCGCTCTAGGCTTCACGCTGAGCAAACAAGAGCTCATCTCCCTACTAACAACATACGGCGTGCCCCGACCCCAAGTCCAAGCCCAACAAGCCCAAGCCCAATCCCAGGGACAGCAAGCTGCACAGGCAAACAAGGGCCCCGTGTCGAACCCGCAACACCCGTCCAACCTGCTCATGCCTCTTTCGTCCTTCCAGGCTGTGACCGCGCTGAAGATTCTTGAGCGCGATCCGCGTGATGAGATTCTGCGCGCTTTTGAGCTATTTGATGAGGGGGGCAAGGGTTTCATTGATCTTGAGGATTTGAGGCGTGTTGCTAGGGAGTTGGGGGAGACGGGGCTTGAGGAGGAGGAGCTTAGGGCTATGATTGAGGAGTTTGATCTTGAGGGGGTTGGTGGTGTTACTCGTGAGGCTTTTGTTGGGATTTGTTGGCAATGAGTTTGAGAGGGGGTTGGGATCGCTTTCTCTCTCTCTGTGTGTCTTTGTCTTTGGTGCTTGGGTTGCAAGGTGACTCTTGACTTGGGCTGTGCATGGGTTTCTCTGGTGTTGGGTCCTGTTTCAGTACTTTGTTTCTTGTTTCTGTTTGTATTACTTGTTTTTGGGAGTACTACTGCCTTCCTACCCTTCTTATCTATTGGGTTTGTATCGCACTTCAAAAGGATATCCTCCCTACAATCGAGATCTTCATTCTAGATTACATGGATAAGCTTGTCAATTAACATAAGTGCTGTATGATTCATAGCCGTGTCAGCGCTGTGTCCTGCTAACGAAGTATAATCCATGCAAATCCAAGAAACCCAGCAGCAACGGCTAAAATGAATGTCCACAAACCCAAACCGCCAATGTAAGGACCGATCATAAACGAGGCCCGCACTATCCATTCGCATTGACGCCGATAACCAATATTCCCAAAAAAAAACAAAACAAAGCCCCACGGGCACGAATGCAAGTGCAAGATCCGAGGATTAAGATCCATAAAACTAAACTAAAATATGATAAACAATGAAAGGATGTAATCAAGCATAGCGTGGCGGCGGCCCAGGCGGTGGCATATTCTGATACATAGGTGGTCCAGGCGGAGGTACATTCTGATACCCACCATTGGGAACACCATGCCACTGGTTCATCTGGGGTGGGCGAGCAGAGGGCTGGGGTCCATTGTAGCGCCGGTATGTACCGGGGGGGATAGCCTTGCGCATCTTGCGCTGGGCAGCGCTGCTTCTGCAGCGACTGTATATGCAGAAGAAGAGGGCGAGGAGGATGAAGGTGCCGCCGCCGACGCAGACGCCGATTACGAGTTTCTCATGTTGCTTGATCCAGCCTAGGGCTGACGATCCCTTGCATTGGCCTGAGTTGCAGCGGCCGCCTGAGTCGCAGGGTGTGCCGTCGAGGTAGTTCTGGTTCATTTTGATGCATGGGGTTGTGCCATAGGAGTGAGCGATTGATGGTGCGCCGCAGACGAGAGTGCATGAAGGGTCTTGGGTATTTTCACAGGCCCAGGTGTCGTTGGTGTTTAGCAGAGAGCCGACCACTGTTCGGCATTGGTAGTCGCGGCTGGTGCACTGGCCGCTGGCACAGCTGAGGCCTTGGCCCTTGTCGCCGCAAGATGAGCCGTCGTCCTTGTATTTGTCGTCAGGGCAGGAGCTGGAGGTTCCACTGCACTTTTCTTCAATATCGCAGACGCCTGTGCTGGGGCGGCACACGGTATCGGCCGAAGAGTGCTGGCACTGGGAGCAGCAGCTGTCGTTGGAGTCGTCGCAGACGGCATTGTCCTTGAATTTGCAGGTTTTTGCATCACAGCAGGAGTTGTCGCTGCAGCCTTCTTCGCCACCGCAGTCGCAGTCTTCGCCGGATTCGACGATGCCGTTACCGCACTGGCTGCCACTGATGGTCACGACTCCTTTATTGTCTGACAGACAAGAGGACTTGATGCTGTTTCTGCCAATTGCGGAGCAGATATTGCCAATTGTACAATCTGAGAACTTGGTCATGCTGTTGATAGCGTATGGGTTCATGATGTACTTTGCAGCAGCATCGCAGGTTGACGAGGACAGTGGACAACATTGAGATGAATCCTGTAACTTCTGAGAGCATGTCTGCGAATCACAGTCGTGCACAGCTCCAAAGGTATGGCCAGTTTCGTGGGCAAAGACCTGCCAAGAAGCACCAGAATTGCGAACAACAACATTGGCACCGGTAACAGAGCTATCGCCGGCGGTCGTCAAGTCGGATGTGCACAACCGACCCATCCACGAGACACCAACCTCGCTGTCTGTCGGGCAGTCGGTCATAAGAGTCCAATAAGCGTTGCTATCTGCATTTTGAGCGCGCCACTTGGAGAATTCATTGAGACGCCAGGTGACATTGCCGCTGTTGCAACCGACGTTCCACGGCGTACCAGAAGAGCCTCCAGAGGTACAGCCAGCCTCGGAGATTGTCAAGTTGCGCAGACCAATTGACACATTGAATGATTCTTCATAGAGACTGGATGCCGTGTTCACTACGTTAATGATCCAATCCTGAGCCGCAGCCTTGGGGGTCCCGTTGTTAGATGCGAAAGACTCGGTCAACGCACAATCGGCCGCAATTCCGATCAGAGCCACCTTCTTCGTCTTGGGGCAACCACTGGTATCGCCGATGGTCGTTTGCAGGTTCACGCCGCCCGTGTTTCCGGACACACCGCTGGTATCCGATTGCCGCTTGCTCAGACCGAATAGCGAATTCAACGAGGTAACACCCCACTGGCCGTCGAGCTGGTCAACGCCATATGGGAAAATAGAATTAGATAGATCGGCATTGTAGTCGAGGGTGTCTGATCCACAACCAGAGGAGGAGGCGGCAAGCGACCGCTTCAGCTCATTGTGTGTGTACTGGAACATGTCGGAGTCTCGGTAGACGAGCATATACTCTCCGTCCCTCGGCTCGACATCGGCATCTATCGGTCGCTTCTTGTGCATATAGTTTGAATGCAATTCAATGTGGTGCTTGTCATTGTCGATGCTGAATGCACCCTCGAAAAGTGGTTCCTGGCCATCCTTTTTAACGGTGATTCTGGCCCAACCGACTGGCGTCCATCTCCCTGTACCTGATCCTACCAGCGCGCGGCCTTTAAACACTTTGTGTTCGTGTCGCTGGATCGGCTGACCGTGCCGTACTGTACCGTCAATACCCAGGTATTGCACGTAAGCGTCGTCGGCGAGGATATCGTGGTTTGGTTCAAGCTCTAGCTTTATCCGCTTGCCGTCTTGGTGTAGGCTGAAGGTAACATCGAAGCTGGATAGATGGTCTATTTTGTGTGAGGGGGTACGAATGATAGCGTTATCGACTGGCGTAACATGGCGAATAGCCTCTGAGGCTTGTGACCGTGCTGTTGGAAGTTAGCGCTGCCACGGCAACGGAGAAAGAGGAGACGGTACCGTGTGTCTGTTGAAAGAGCGACGAAACTGCACCTATCAAGGGCAGGATTGTTTGGGAGAACCTCATCGCAGTTCAGGCCCCAGGGTCTGAGGATATCAGGGTCTTTTGAGGCTGATAGAGTTTCAAGGGTCCTGGCTGACAATCATGGGGAGATTCCAGGGATCGGGTCCACCTCGGGGGATTAACGAGTGTCAGGAACTTAAGGAAAGATAACTTGAATATCAGAACGAGAGACTGGAATATGGAAGAAGCGAGAGGGATCACAAAGGGTCCGGCACAGCCGTTTGCCAAGGTCTACGGAATCCAATGGCAGTGACGGGCCCCGGAGGCCAGAGGGCTGGGCTTGGCAAGGCGGGCTGAAACATCTATCCGATGTTCTGATTGCGCGAGGAAAGTGGAGTTGGCCTATTTTCATTCGATCTGGCTTATGGTGCTGCCTGTAGACTTGGCGCTTAACTTTTTAAGACGAAGTATGTACATGTAGGGCTAAGGTTCGCATTCGGAGGAATATACATGGACTCGGTGATGGCGAACACAGCCACATATATTGCCACCTCCGTGAGCCAAGATATTAATGTATTTTTTAAGAGGAGTACCCTATTGACATCATTTAATAATTCGAACGAGTACGCGTAACATGACTGTAAGCCAAGGCGCCAACCGGGTATTAAATCCATCACTTGGCAAGGCTGGATGCATTGTGACACGCACTGCAGTATGCATAACTTAATTCTTTGTCCCAACTTAGGGCGTTTCTTTTATATAGGAACCCGAAAATATAGGTTAATACGTAGTAGAACAAAACTGACTCTAAAGAGGCAAGAGCTGGTAGAACAGGGGCTTCGATATGGCCATTTTGATCACAGACAAATGACTACTCACTCGGGGGCAGAGTGATACATCTCATGTGCCAGCTGTGCGAAATGGGGTATAGATGCCCCGCAGATAGGGCAGAGTACACTGCTAGCCAAGGGTTCATCTTCGTCGCCCTCATCCCAGTCATCCTCGGCCTCGGCAGACTGTGGCTCAATCTCAGGTGAACCTCCAATAAGCGATCGGGAAGCCTGAACGGGCACCAATGGGGGTTCAGGTTCCTGCACAGTCCAGTCCTTAAGCACCGTCTCCTGCTGTCGAAACATCTTGCCAATATCACGCCCACTGCTCTGCTTCTGATCACCAGCGGTCTCAACCATATTGGTTACCGCAACATTGATCAAACCGAGATTCCAGCCGGCCTTTTCAGGATGCAGTTTTCGGAACATAGCCAAAAGGCTATCTTTGACTAATCGTTCAGCCAACGCATCGATGTTCTCATCCAAGTTGAAGATGAAAGATGCCAAAGGCGCTGAGCGGGAAATCCGATTGTAATTGTATGCATGTGCAGTATCCATGTCTGGCGGAGGCCTTGGCCGCGTCGATAGTCGCAGAGTGCGAGGATGGGCGAGCCATCTCCCTTGCGGACTGCTATCGTCACTCTTATCAAGTAAATCGGTCCTGATGCGTCGGATCAGGCTTCCTGAGAGTGCAACCAGCTCTCGCCTCACACTCTCCAAGGTATCCAGTCGGCCGTAGGAATCTTCGATGCTGATTTGGGTTGGCACGTCTCGGCCCTCGAGCACATCTGTATTGTCCACTCCATGGAGAATGCTCCACATGCGCGTTCCGATCCCTTTCACTGACCCCGGTCCGCCAAGGATCTTTTCTAGCAAGGGTGGCCCCATTCCCGGGAACTGGCGGATGTCTCGGACGGTGATCTTCTCATCGGCAGTTTCTTCCCCTGAGATATAAGTTTTCAGTCTCTCGGCGATCCGTGAGCCAATCCCGGGAATTTTTCGAATTTCATGGTCATCCATAAACTGTGTGACATTGCTGGGGACACTTCCAACCGCCGTGTATGGCGGCAGGAGAGTCGTTTGCCCGTTGGGCTTGTGGACACTGCCAACCAACTTTGCCAGCAGTTTGGACGTTGAAGTTCCACCCGTAGCCGTGAAACCAATCTTGTGCTCCATATTACTTCTCAAGAATCCTTGAAAATGTGAAGCGACAAGCAATCTCATATCCAAAGAAGATACCTCATTCTGAGCGGTCGGCGCAGCCTCCGTCGCCGGAAAGGTCGATCCCTGGAATCGAGTGGCATCGTAAGAAAAGCCGACAGTAGGATCTTTCCGATCAAGATAGAAAAACGAGTTCGACAAGTCATTCGGGTTCAAGACACCGGTATTGTAATCGATCATCTCCGTGACGTCTAGAAAAAGCTCATCAAACCCCAGCTTCTCCACACGTCCGCCCCAAACAAAGGATCGAACAAACAGATACAGCTCCTTAGATGCATTTCTGAACTTGGTCAAGTCTTCACCCAAGACGATGACCACATCGGGGCAGATGCGCTTGGCATCTTTGATAAGTTGCAATTTATGCAACCCTCGCCGCCGGGCCTCGTAGTTGCATGTTACCACGATATGTTTCTGCTGGACAGCCAAGGGCAGAGATCTCAGTGCAGGCTGCTCAACCTCAAAGACTGATGCATAGAAACAGTCATAATCCTAGAAATGATCAGCTTGACTCTGATGGCGAAGGGGAAAGACTCACAAGGTGGAGGATGACCCGATGGTCGTTTCGTGGGGGTGCAGCCATGGACCCTGAGATATCCCCGGTCCATCAGTGGAGTTCTTAGATTATGGGCTGAGATGGGTCCAGGGCTGAATAGTTGCATGTAGCTGCAGTGAAGCCAGGAACAGGCTGCCACTGTGGCTAGTGACTGTGGCGTCTGTGGCGTAACGTTAAAAATAGAAACTGGGCTTTATAATACATACATGTTTATCACCTTTAACGAATACAATAGAGTCGATGGGTTTTTATCTCCAGGACAATCAGCATAAGACAAGTTGCATAGAGATGGAGACATATGCCAGTGTGGGTAAGAAACGGTTAAAAAAGTAAACAAAGCAGCACTTGCCCCTCACAATCCAACAGGCGTGTCCCCACCGGTACATTTGTCAAGACATAACAGAAACAGAATACGGTTTGTGAATAGTAAGTTATGGATAGCCTGGCAAAACTGCTGATACGACGTGGAGCGGATATGAATGGCCCCTTTCAAGGCCCAGGCTGGAAAGAGCGGGAGGTTCGGAAAAATCATCCTTTTTACGTCGTATTAAGACCTCAATACGACATCGTGATGGAAACGGAATATAGATGCCTACAAAGCGAAACAAGCAATGTCCAAGCCAATGTAATTGTGAAAAGTCGAAGCAGACAAAGAAAGTAAGCAAATTTAAACAATGACAATCTATATAGCCATATTTAGCATTTTCGCCACTGTTCGCAATGTAGGTAACCTCAGGATGATCGGCCCCAAGACCCACGGGCAATCTTTTTATAGCAATGGCGTGCGAATACAGTACACAGTCTCTGTCTCACAGATAGATTAACTACAATAAACTTGTGTGACTACAGGACAGATTTAGAGCGGCAAGACATAGTCTGGTTGTGGCGTCAATAGTTCGGCCTCCACTTGAGTCTGGAATCAGAGCCGATAAATCTCTTTAGAAGTGTAGATCTTAATATTAAAGTCATTAAACTCCATAAACTCCCAAAGTTACACAGTTAATCTACAATTTTAGGGGGTTACTTGGAATGTGCATACTGCAGAGGTGACATCCTGCATCTCCCATCACATCATAGAGTGCTGATCGCAAGCGCCAACCTCCTCTATTCTTAGTTCAACCCCGCCACTTCTATCACCTCGTCTTTTTTTTCCCTTGACGATATTCTATTCTCCTTGACTTCTCTACTTCATGTCCTAACTCACCATGTCGTGTCTATCACCCCCGACGGACGCAACCACGATAACATCACGACCCAAACTCACCCTGCAAACCACTGCTCTCCCACGCACATTTGGCAGCTCAACAACTGGCCTTTCCTTCTCCTTTGCAGCTGCACCAACATCATCTCCCACTGTCCGCAACACCTTCAAAAATGCCTACGATGTCGCATCCCCGTCTTCCGCGACGAGCTCTCCCGTGAAATCCTCCCGCTTCAACACACCCAAACCCACCTCGCCCTACGTCACACACCCCAATAATGTCTTCAACTACCGCAACCCCTACCAACTACCTCTTGGCGTCCGCAGCATCTTACGCAACTCCCCACTAGACTCAGCCTCAAGGCGCCGAGGCTCCATTTCGGCGGGCGGCAATGGACACAACGCAGGCACCCGCCGAGTCTTCTTCCCAGCAAAGAAACAAGTGAACTACCGGTGCCCACTGGAAGAAGAGATCCGCACCGAACGCTATACGGCCCAGCATCTAGATCTCCTGCGGGAGGAGGCAGTGCAAAACGAGGCAGACAAGCCCCCACCTGAAACTGGATCCGGCCCCAGTCCCGAAAACGAGGACGAAAATAATAATGACTCCGATTCTAGCGCGTCATTGTCCGAGAGTGCGTCGGGCGATGACACTAGCGCTGATGAAGGCGTGCGCGATACCAATACCTCGCTCACTAAAGAAGAGCGTAAGAAGAGGCGCACGCTTCGTATAGAGCGCCAGGTTCGGGCGGTGGCTTTGCTGGATGGGTTTGAGGCTGATCCGTATGCCTCGTCTACTCCTCAAACACCACGCCAGGGTCGTTTAAAGCGCCGCCGGGAGTGGAAATGGACTTTGGGTCCGGTAGAGAGTGACTTAAATGGGGGCGATATTTCTGTGCAGTCGTCATCGCCCCCGTCGGAGTCAGGTCCCTCTGAGACATCCGCAAACTCCGAAGCAAGTCAATAAATATGCGACATTTGTTGTTTCATGGCTACTGTTTTTTTCAGTGATGCATAATGGTGATGCATATATCATTTACGAATCATGTTCTTGTATATATAGAGGCGCAGGTTGGGTTTCAGTGTTTTGGAGTGCATTCGCTCTCTCCGTTCTCCGTCGGCTAGGAGTCTATCAGCATTTAATGTTTCTCATAGTATATTATATCCTCGATGTTAAGATACACAAAATCTCCCGACTATGGTTGATATCTATAGGTATCACAGTGGAAACAAACAACATTATACCAACTCCAACCTATCATGATTTATGCCACCAGTCCCGGATGGGCTTTTCCAGTTTCCTCACACCGAACCACCGTATCTGCCATCTACCGGCTTTATCGGGCTCTCTGAAGATCATCATATAAGTGATTTTACTCAATGGATCGAGTGAAAGAGCCTGTTAAAAGTGAGATTCTTCTCCACACAATCAATCGGGAGACTTACAACAATGCTGATATCCTCGTTTTTGTCCAAGAATTTACTCAGATGTTCGTAGTGCCCACGCAGATTCCAAACCGACTTCACATTCCGCAAATCATTTCGGCGCCCATAGGAAATCACATACGAGCCCCCGAACCCAATAGTCACATTCAAGATCGTGGAGCCATCTTCCATAGTACTGTGCGTCCTGATCGCGTTCCTGAAATCGGTCTTTCCGTGACAGCTCCATTTGTTATTTCGCCATCGTGCGTAGTATGTATTGCCTGGTCCGAGAACACACGTCTCGAGATTCTGGAAGCCTCGAGTTTCTAGTATAGTACCTAGGTTCCCATACCGCTCAAACAGGCCATCGCTGGTGGCTGGCAAGTTCATTAACATTGATACAACCGCTCTTCCGGGGTTCAGTTCTTACCCCAAGTCCCATCGTTGTAACGGGCAATCCATGTCAAGGCTCCTTCGTGGGATTCTCCGTAGCTGGTGGCTGCTAGCACTCCTGATCCCTTTCGCATCTCTGGGTAGGCCATTTGGCTAACGAGCCACAATGATTCAGTCATATTTCCGGACTCTCTGATTTCGAATGTACTCACCTGGCGTTATATTTGCTACTAAACCCGGCGAATTTGGTGCCATGCAGGACCAAGCAATAAGGGACATATACGGTCTTTCTCGAATGACTCTCGACATCTTTCTCGTTTGTTCGGGTCCATGTAGCGACAGCAACTTCTTCTTCTGAATCCGCCTTCCCTCGCCCTTTGAATTTCTCCTTATCGGTCGGCAACGGCGATGGCGATGGCGATGGCGATGGCGGTGGTGATACTTTGGGCTCAGGTGTCTTTTTAGCCAGCTTTGCTTTCTCTTTCTCAAGCCTCTTCTCTCTATTTTTCATCAGCTTTAAAGCAGCGGCATAAGCCGCCTGTTGCTCCTTCAACTGCTGCTCCAACCGAGTCACGCGCTCATCTCGATGCGCAAGAAGCTTCTCCATGTCAGACCGGAGAACCCCGGTATCCTCTTCTGCTTTCTTGATCATGCTCGTATACCTCTCGCGCTCTTCACGCATGGCCTGTTCGGCCTCTCGGTTCTGCTGCTTTATCGCAACCTTCATCTGCTCTTCAATCTCGCGACGCTCCATATCCCACTTCGCCTTCTCTTTATTCAGCTCGCTTTCCAATTCCCGACCTGCTGATGTCTGGTTCAGGGAGCGATGCTCATCTACCAGCTCCTTCTGCAAATTCGTTGTAATAGGTCTATTGTTCTTTGCAAGAAGATCAACAATCGCTCTAGCAGAGTCTTCGGTATTGCTGTGTCGATGGGAGGTGCTCCCCTTGCTGAGCATGTATCCCCAAAACTCGGGTTTATCGAACAACTCCTTCTCGCGCATTGAGGCGTCTTCGCTTGCAACTTTGTCCCACATAGTTGTTACCAGAATGACCTTTTTCAGAGCGTCGTCTCCGCAAAGCTCAGTAAACATCGTTAAATTTCTCTTGGCTGATCCTTGCATTCGAATATCGCTTATCCGGTGTAGATATAGGATACCGCTCAAAAGAATTTTGTTTTGGTATGAGTCTCCCAGCCATGTTGCGATTTCGCGGAGAACTTGGGCGTCGCTTCGATCGGTGTCATCAAATCCGGGCGTGTCGATTAGGTATACGGTGCGATCTGCTGATAGTTCGTAGGCGTAGACGTCGACGACAGATGTGCCTGCGCGCTATTAGATATTGGATACTATTGACATCGTTGACTGCAGGACCGAGCTGTACTCACAGGCACCTAGGCTATGGCCGATTTCAACTCGCTTTCTGGCGCATAGTGAGATGAAAGAGCTCTTTCCGGACCCCGTCACACCCATCACGGCGATAAAAACATCGTTCGGCCTTGAGGTTCAATTTTTTAGTATGTGGCAAGAGTAGACTCATTCTTGGACGAGAGCTATTTACCCTGGGGCGCGACCACCTCGAAAGCCCACTGATGAGTATGGATTGCTGTGCACATTCGTGCCCCTCACTACTCAGCATTCAGTTAATGGCTCTTCCTCATGATGATAAAAGGCACACCTACCAAAGGACGACATTATGCGCACAGTTTGATGTATTTCGAAGTTGAATGATTTGCAACGGATGCGATGGGATGAAATCTACTTCGCAGTTTCCCTTTCTCTCAACATAGCCCGAAGAGCAATATTAAAGGTTCCATCATCTCTGCGGCGAGGCGTAATAATAACGCTCGAGCCCTCTCAGCTGTTGTTGCATTAGTTCTTAATGGGCAGAATGGACTAATCCCGAAATCTCACCAAGGCGTCTAGTACTTACTAGGTCTTACCTATTACTCTTACTTTACATTTTCTCCTAACACTGTGATTTGCAGTATGCTTACATATCTGCATATTTATTTCGTGCGTGACTACGCCACTGCCAGCGAAGTCCTGCACCCAGGCGCCGGGGTATCCATTCTATGGACGCCACAAGCCTAGAGGGTCGCGTAGCGTGGGGATTGATAGGATTGCCACCGTGCAAACAAGCCTCTCGCATCTAGAATTCAGCCTAACCGGCAATTGGGTTTTCCGAGCCTATCGTTGACATTTCCCCCTTATCTTGTTTTCGGGGTATTGGCAGCGTGCTGAGGCTCAGCGGGCCGCATCTCGTGGGTAAATTTGGCACTCTTGTAGAGTGGTTGGCGCTCTCGTTTGATTATTATTATTTTTTTCGAGAAGATCAGACTATATCTCAGAGGAGATATTCATTACCACTTCTTTTACGCCCATCCTTGTTAACACTATTCATCTGAATTTTGTTTGTTATGGATATCAAATCCGCAGCTGAGCAGTTGGCCGATCAGGCTCGGCGCTTCTCAGTTTTTACTGGCCTTACCAAACCAAATCCATATGATAGATTCATCTTGGTTATGGGAATGACAGGGTCCGGCAAAAGCACCTTCATTTCTCGGTGCACTGGAAAAGATGTCCTTGTTGGCCATGGCCTATACTCCTGTAAGTGGAGTCTCTCATATCTCTCAATTTATAATAATAACACTTCCTAGGTACCGACTCAATAGACGTCTTCGACTTCAATTTAAATGGCCGGCGGATCTATCTTATTGATACACCGGGCTTCAACGATACTGATCGCTCTGATATTGATACTCTGAGTATACTTGCCAGCTATCTCGGCGCATCGTATGCAAACGGCGTGCGCATCCATGGCATAATAATGCTACATCCGATCACCGGCAACCGGATGTCAGGGTCAAGCCTGCGTAATATTGAAATGATGAAAGCTATGTGTGGCTTTGAGTTCTACAATAACGTTGCCATCGCCACTACCATGTGGCCTGATACAACTTTGTATGAGGATACAGGTACGCTGGAGAATCGAGAGGCTGAGCTCGTGAGTGATCAGCGATACTTTGGTGCCTTGATCTCGCGCGGAGCGACTGTCTTTCGTCATAACGAAAAAGGCATAAAAAATTCCACTGAGGAAATTGATTCTGGACGAAATATCGTGTCGCATCTCATTCAACAATGTGAGAAGCATGTTCCAGAGGTACTTCAGCTCCAACGCGAAATCACTGAACAAAGAAAGACTCTTGGTGAGACGGGGGCAGGTATTGCCGTTGCAAGAGATATACATCGAGCGAAACGGGAACACGAAGAAGAACTGCGCAGGATAGAGGCAGATATGAAACGCGAGCTAGCGAAGACGAATTCTGCATATGCCGCGAATCTGCAAGAACTCAAGCAAGATATTGAGAAACAGCTGAGGAAATCTGACCGCGAGAAGCAAGCATTGAGGAATTCAATGCAAGATTTGCATCACAGAGAGGAAAAGATATGGGAACAGAGGATTGAGCAGATGGACAAACAATTCCGGGAACAGATTGCGATTAAGCAAGAAGAGTTACGTGATATGGAGTCGTCTCTCGATGAAGTTCGCAGGGATATGGCTCAACAGACTCAAGACCTCCAGGTGAAAAAGCTCGTTGCAGCCGAGGCAAGGAATTATGAGCGCAAGATCGCTGAAACCAGAAAGAAGCTCGCGGCAAGAGAGAAAGAGCTACGGAATAAGGAGGAACAGGTCAAACAGGCTCGCAGGGATGCGGCTCGGCGGCAAAGCCTCCATGAGAAGGAGCGTGTTTCATCTGAGGATATGCAGCGTGAGATAATAGTCCAAGAAATCCGACACGAGCTTGCGGCAAAAGAGAAGAAACTACTCGACATGGAACAATCGCTTGAGAAAGTACGCAGGGATATGGCACGGCGGTCGAAACATAGTCACCGGAAAGCGAGGACTGCCAATGACATTGAAAAACGCGAGTCGAATGTCAAGAATGCCCGCAAAGAGGTCGAGCAAGCTCAGGATGCCCATAAGAAGTTCAGTGGGCGGAAAGCCGAGCTTTACAATGGAGCTCTTGGTGGTGTTGCATCTGGTGTGGCATCTGGCGTTGTTGCTGGAGGTAAGTTGTGTCTTGTCCAAAAAAACAATTGGACACAGTTACTAACGAGATATCACGTTAGCTCTAGCGGCCGGACTTGTGTGTACAGTAATGTGATTGAGGCTACTTATATTCACGTTGTATCTTTGGATCAGAATCAAATTTGTTCGGAACTCAATGTAAATAACATTTTATACAGGAAAGGGGACTTGCTAAATTAGGGCCCAAAACACAAAACCCGAAACTTTCATACTTCGTTAAGTCTCCGTCTCGACATCCGGCTCGCGACCTGTGAGATCACTAGCACCGACCTTCTTCTTGATCTTCCGTAGCGCGAACTTGACCTCATCTTTGGCGAATGCAGCATTCCGAGCGGGACGCCACTGCATCAGACCGCGCTGTTGCCGTTGCTCACTGCGCTTGTTTGCCTTGTTAATCTGGCTGCTACTTCCCTGCGACGACGAGGCCCCAGCATTGCCATTGCCACTGGCGCTACCACTGAGGACCGAAGGCCCATGAGACAAAGAGGACTCCTCACTTTCCGAGTCAGAGGTGTCATTATCAGATCTAGGAGAGGCTTGATCGTGTTCCTCAATGTTTGACTTGGAAGAAGGCTGTCCCTTCAATGGTGGTGGGGTGACAGGATCATGGGGAGGCGAGTCGACTCCAGGCTCGGCGGCCTTACGTCCGACGGAATCGGTGTATGCGCGTGGGTCGTGGCCAAATGCACCGCTCCAGTCTGAACCATCTTTAGAAATCCACTTCCGACGTTCAGCAGGGGAAGCTTGTTTCAATACGTCGCGTCCGTCGACTAAAGACTGTTCGTGCTTGGCCTGGACTTCGGCGGGAACTTCGACTTCGACGCTGCGAGAGCGAACACCCTGTGCCATGCACGCCTCCCAAGTCTCAAATGTTTCGCGTGAGTCATTGTCGACCACGAAACGCTCATGAGATTCATCGATTCCTGGTGAGAACTTGCATCGGAACTGCAGACGCCCCACTTCAGTCAAGTCTTCGAGTCCCGGCACTTGCTTGGCACGCCAGTTCTGTTCAGTAACATAGTTTTGAGTGAGACGGTCGCCCATCTTGGTTGTCCAGATGGGAATATCGATGTCGGTTTCTTCGTTATCGACGAGATGCTGGAGCCACAGGACGGCGTACGCCACGGAGCCGCGCTTGCCCTTGGAATGGAATTCAAATATGACAGGGGAGCGGTAACGGTGCTTGACTGGCATACGGAGGGAGTCACGGAATTCCTCGTCAGAGGTATCAAAAACTGCATCGCTTCCTGTCAAATGGCACTTGTGCCATTTGATCTTCCCCGTGCTGCCCCCGGTGCGCAGCTTGATCTTGGTGTGTCGACCATAGTCCTTAGCAGTGATTTTCTGTCCAGCGAACTCAAAGGTTCCAACATCCCAGCCCAGCATGTTGGGTGGGAGCTTAGTCTCAACGTGGCGGAAGAGGACAGAAAGGCGGATACGTCCGAATCCGATACCTCCATCCAAGGGGTACCAACGAGTGACCTGGGAGCTGGTTTGGAGGACGTCGGAAAGTTTGATGGGAACGACACCCAGGATAGGATCGTGTTCACGGTAGCGTTGATCCCGGACGGTCACAGTCACCACAGCAGAACGCCAGTCACGAACGAACCGCTCAGTTCCAGCGTTGAAGATTGGCTTGGAACTCACAGCCTTGGCACGAGTGCGATAGACCTAGAACAATGGTTAGCATGTCAAGTCTTGAGCGGTGAGTATCCCTGAATCCATACCAGTTGATCATTGAGCAAAACCTTGCAGTAGCTGGTGGGCAGGTCATCACCCTGCTCTTCTGTGTTTTCACCATATGGCTTCGCCGGCTCATACTCCTTGCCCTTGCGGTTACCATCACTACCCTTGATATTGGCAATTTGGAGGTTCACGATTTGATGCACAACAATGTGTACAATACCACTAGGCCATATAGGATCAGGTGGTGTATGCATAACTGCGTCCTCTTCTTCGTTGTTGATAGCACCCTTCTCGTCCTCGAAGTTGGGATCACCCTTGAGGTTCTCGGGCAAATCCTTCTTCTTGCCATCGGTTCGGAGCTCGGGGCGAAGCTTAGGCTTTCCGAAATATCCGACTTCCCAATGCAGCTCACCCGGCATCTCACTGCCCTCGTCCATGCCCTGGAGCTTCGATACCTGGGGGTACATGCGACCGGGATGCTGAATCATCTCCCGAATTGGAAGCTCAACTTTTCCAACGATGTCATCCGCAGTGTTGCGGTCCGAGTCCCAGAGCTCGACGCTCAGGTTTTCGTTGGCTTTGATCAATTCAGGTGTCACGAGGAGAGCAGCGGTCTCTTCCCATATGGGATTGAGATCGTCCGTAATTACGCGAGTACAGTACATGGGCTTGCCGTACTTCGAGAAGGAGAGGTTGATGTATGGGTCACTGCCTCCACCTTCACTTCCACGGGTATCCTGCTTGCTCAAGCCGACAGCTCGGTGAATGCGAATCCACATCACACCAAGAGCCTGAGTATCCTTGTGGATGTCGTCGCCCGAGAGCATCATACCAAGATCCATGGTCATCGACTTGGGGGCTGCGAACATGGCACATGCAGTGCTAATGGCCGAGTTGACAAAGTTCGAGATAAGGGGAAGGTTGAGAACATTGACTCCCCTTCGCAGCATAGGCATGCAACCGGCCCTGACATGGGGAACACCAACCAATGTGAAAGTCACATCTTTCATGAAGGGGGCTTCGGGCATCATTTGGAAGCGCATTCGAACGGTACCCACCATCTCAATGAGCTCCACAAATACTGGGAATGGGACACCGAACAGTCCTCGGATACCTAGGTAGAATACCAGTTGCATGTGCATGTTGCGTGCCTTAGATGAGGTACTCTGAGAGGTTGGCTTTGCATGATAGGCGAAGGAGGCCTCCATGTTGTAATAACTGCCTCCTTCCTCTGCGGCAGCGGCCTCCTGTGGATCTTTATTCCTCTTGTTCTCTTCATGGATATTGTCCTTCAAGCCTTGAACATGCTCATCGGGAAGAGCTCGCATGCTCAGGATCCGGAGTGGGTTGTTGCCCTGGTCGATTTCCGCGATTCGAACGTTCTCCACAACTTTGGGCGCAGACACTTGCATAATATCTTCAATGGTGTCGGCCACAGGCGACAACATTTCTGGATTGACGAGTCCCCATACAACGCCGAGGAGACTATTCAGCCACTCTACGGACTCGGGAAGCAGGTTGGCAGTAGCCTAATTGACTGTCAGTATTATGACTCACGAAATGGACACATGAAAGAGAACCCACCATCTCCCCACGGAGCTGCTCACTACTCCACTCCATATCTCGACCACTCCGGATAACTTCCTGCATCCATAGCCATACACCGCTCGTGATGCAAACTGCCAAGGGAATCAGGCCCCAAAGTGACCCTCCAAACGTCCGACCTAAAATAATGATAGCAACGGGAATTCCAATACAGAGTGCCGTCGCGCGTTTTTCAATATTGTCAAACATAGGCTTGTATGAGACAGTTGGCGTAGGGTGGAACAGAACGTTCGTCTTCTCTCCTCGAATGGGGACATCGGAGGTGGTGCCTTCAGCAATTGGATCGGGCGGAGCCGTAATATCTTGACTTTCTTTATACTCTGCGAGCTCTTGGTCGGGACGGGTTTGGATTCCATTCTGTGGTTGTCAGTTTGACTGCCAACATCATCATACTGTGGTGACGTACCGTAGGCTTTCCAATATTGGCATTCGGCACCGTCAACTTTAAATTCATTAGCATAGAATACACAGAGCTACCAAGAGTCCCTCTGCATACCGTAGGGTTTTTGACAGTCTCCATAGATTTTTCATCTTGATCCTCCACACCGATATCTTTGCCCGTAGTCGGATCTGTCACGGTGCGCACTTTGGCCTGGGAGACCTCGCGGGCCTTGTGAGCGACAACATCTCCATCTTTCGCCTCAGGCTGTTCACCCGAGTCTTCTCCTTTCTTTTTGCGGGCAGCTTCTTCTTTCTTGATCCGATTCTCTCCGTCAATTCTGCGATCCCGCTCCTTCTTCTCAGAGTCGATATGTTCCATAAAGTTATGGATGGTGGGGATAGGGTTGGCACCACTCCAATGGTCTCCAACTCTCCGGCTCTGAGGAGCCTTGGATTCCTCCCCTGCCATGGTGGGCGAACCTTCTGGGATGTGGATTTCGGCAGCTTGATCGTAGCTCGTGGCAGTGTGTATATGTGAATATTGGAGATGAGACGCCTTCAAAACAAGCCCCAGGAGCCAGAGGAATTGACCAAAATAGTTTGTAGACTGTAGATGTATAACAAGTCATAAAACGGATGATGTGGCCCAGAAGCTCTCCCCGGGCTACGTCATCGGTTCAACCCGGGAAATGGTATGACGATAGTAACAGCTCTACCACCCATCTATTTGCGACCTGAGTTGAAAGACCAAGTTTTTCCTCCACAATTGATTGGCCTGGCCAGGATTTGCTGTCTTCTTTGTTAATTGAGGTGGAATCTAGTCTTGGCGTTGCAAGAGCCCGATCCAGATGCGTTTTAGCTTGCGGCATAGGACTACTAGGCTACTCTTTAACACCATATAACATGAAGAAAAGAAGACAAAAATTATACAATGAAGCCAAGATAAACTACATTTTTTCTGTTTGGGTGCAAAAATAACAATCGTCAATCGGATGTGATATCGCACATCCTTAAATGATGTCATAGAGGCTCGTGATAATGACTTCAATGGTCCTCCGCCAAGACTCCCCTTGCCAACTATAGGAGTATATCTTGAAACACACTTGAATCCTTTTTGAGACTCAACCTGTACGTTAAGTCGTACAGCAACTTACTTGTGTCGAATGAATGTCCATCTTCGTGTCGATCGATGTGGACCTAGCTAGGAATGAGATCTCGTGGTCGCAGATCGTTTGACCGACAAATAAACTATGCCGTATGCTTTGAGCTGATAGTTGGTGTATAACAGGGTGACTTGATTTTGTAACGTGTCTAGTAATGCAAGATAGCATCGGCCTTGACCATCATAAATCGCGAGTATGTGGCCTGACCACCAAGTCACCAACAATCATAACAGTAAATGTAGCCACAATTCCTTCCAGGTCCCTCCGATTATACTGCTCCATCGATTGAAATACACTTGAGTGTTTAATGGGCCTTTCAAGGATCATTGATTTCAAACAAATATACAAAAAAAGCTTCTTTGTTGTCCGAAGTCGGTCGCTTGTCAATAACCGCGCTCTTACTCAAACTACACGTCCCTTGACACTTTGGTGGACAATCGATCAATAGCGGTCGACTTGTCGCTTTAAATCAATGCTTTATATGTCCCATTTGTATCTCTGATTTTCACAGATACTGTACTTAGACAGATATTAATTGCAATATATATATACGTCAAGCTACGATTAACACACCAAATATTTCCAAATGTCAAAAGCTAGTATCTGCGATTATAAGATATGTTTGCCACAAAAACCTCGAAAATCAATGTATATTGATTCTTGCTGGTCAATATGTTTGGCATTTGATGCTTTCTCTCAGGGAGCATATGTACACAGCTAAGATAAGATATGCGGCCAATTAGACTTTAGAATCTGCGGTTGACAGATGTCTAATCGGTGAGATTGTGGGGATCGAAGTCGTAGCGTGCTGAGATTTACACTACAAGGCTAGCCTCTGACTCAGTATATCTACTAACCACATTGGGTGCCCGCGAGCTTTAGAGTCAAGCCAATGTCTGCCTTGAGCATAGCGCACGTATAGCTACGGGTTGGAATAGCTCGGGATCCCAATAAGGGTTGGGAATCGTAACAACCTTTTGTCTGAGTCACTGCAAGCCACAATGAAGAGGAAGCATATATTGAGACAGTCCGTAGCGTGTAAATAGTCGCAGCGTGCGATATTCCCTACTATACAGCTGAATACAGTGTGACTATAGATCAGTATCCCTTCACAATGAGTGGCACTGATGATACTCTACCTCCATATCAAGCCAATGATCCACTGGCATATGAGACAGTAGCAACCCCAAAAACAAATTCAGCCTTTTATCATATCCATCGTCCATTAAGCGACTATCAAGTGTACTCCGCGAACCAACAGCTCGCGTTTTATGTTGAAGTTCACACGAGGAACATCACGAAACCAGACCTCATCATATACAAGGGCACCAGAACTCCTGGACGAGAAATCGCGCAATGCAGATATGGGGAGAAGGCAAGCTCTATTCAGTGTGACACCGGATTTTTCAAGGCATCACACAAGTCCAACAAGTCGCATGGAAAGATGTCTGTTGCGTGGTGGTCCAAATCGACTCGCGATGCCCCCAGTGACGTGCAATATCGCTTCGCGGCAATGATCGAACCGCCTCCAGGGGTGAATGGGGTGCAATCATCCACAACGAAAATACCGCACTCATTTAAGTGGATAAAAGCCTCAAGTCTTGTGTTGTTGGACGAAGAGACTGGCAAGGTCGTTGCTCTTGTTCATGAGAATGGGTCGGATTCAACTGTTTGTGGAGCACTTGAAATGGTTGTTTCATATGGCGATGAGTTCGATCTCATAGCTTTGAGCAGCTTCATTGCGGTTTTTGAGAAGGAGAGGAGACATAGGAGCTCCCCTATCGAAGACACAGAGGAAAAGACGCGTGGTAAACTTCAGGGGCTCATAGATGGTTGGAGAAAGGATTGACGATGTATTAACGTGACAATTGTTTGTATATCTGATTTGTTCTAGATGGGCATTGGCGATCAAAAAGGAAGGATGCAAGAAAGGTCTGTGGGATACATGTATAATACAATTTTTAATGATGATGAATTTGATTTGAGAAGTTGTACAAACATCGACCAATTTTGATTGCGCTTGTGGTCCGTGTGGAGGAAAGGTGTATTACCCATGCCGACGCAGTGAGGACATACGGCGAAGGAATCCAGACTTTCCACAACAAGACCTAGGCCAGGGATACCACCAATACCCGGCGAGGACGAGCCAGAAAAATGTGGATGCCACCCACTGACTGGGATAACGTGATTGGACGAGTAGCGGAGCCTCTAGGAAACCAGACAACAGATGTAGAAGACCGGGGAGAAGTCGGGCATGGGGAGGGGAGATGGCCACCAGCACCGAGAGTAGCTGCATGGGAGCATGGTTTCTTGATGGCAATTGTATGTAAGACCCTGTAACCAGAATATTGATCAAACACAATGAATGGTCCGCACGATGTGCGCGTTGCTGATGATCATTTCTGATGGATAATGGCGTACAATAAGAAAGGAAGAAATGCTCATGTTCGATATGCGTACTAGGACCGGCCGAGTCTACTTGTTTCAAGGTCCATAATACAGATGGTCTAGGGAGACCCATCTTCCTTTCAAGCTAGTTGGATCGGTATTGTGAGAGCCATTCACAAGTTCACCCAGCTGCCAAGTCTCTCTTCTATTTCTCTTTATCTATCCGGGTATCTATGGTAGTATCTATTCATTTTCAGTAACATTTCTTAGTCCTCCGACCTCAACCCAGAGTCTTTCTCTTGACGCCACATTCCACACAGCAACAAGAGGAATGGTATAGTACCTAACAGGATGAATGCAACAAGGGTAAATGCCCAGCCACGACCCATTGCACTCAGCATTGGATCAATAGCAGCAGACGCGCCAGCTGAGAAGAAAGACCGTACCATGTTGTTGGCAGCGGTCGCAGCGGCAGGGTTTGACGTGTGCAAATCGACCAAAAGGGTCGAAGTAGAAATAAAGCCACCTGTCTGACCAACACCGACGAAGAAAAGAAGAACTTCGGGTGCTGGTAGGGGTTCACCGTATTTGAGTACCCACCCAAAGGCCAGCACGGTCACACTTCCCAAGACAACAAGTGGGATAGTGACCATACTTCGAGCCTTCTCAACTGGAATTTTATCCTCCGTTGTCTGTCCGGAGGTAGAGTCCGCGGCCCTTTTCAAGCCCATGCGACGATAGTTCCAGTCGAGTAGTCTACCTGTCACAACGGACGCCACGATGGATCCAGTGCCCAGCGTGATATAACAAAGACCGATCTCAAGCTCGTCTAGACCGTACTGCGCGGTGTAAATCTCGGTGATGGATGAGAGCACTGTCATGTTTCCGCCCATGATAACCCCTGTGACCAACAGGATAATGATGGAGTTGACGTGACAGACAAGTTTAAGAGGTTTCAGCGGATTAGGGAATCGGAGCCTGTGCTCAATCTTCTTTGGCGAGTCACTGCTATCCGGCCGCTCATCAATGGCCTTGGACGAGGCAGCCTCCTTGTCTGAGCTCCGGCGATAGAAATATTGAATGAAAGGTTGATTCCAAGGCTGTGCTGGAATGGAGCCATCGTCAACAACATTTCTTGCTGTCTCAGGGAGGAACATCAGAAGAGGCAGCAAAAAGACACCAGATGCGATGGTCAGAAACCAGAATATAGATCGCCAGCCCAGGTATTGGGATAGGAGGCCACCTATAATGGGTCCGATGGCTGGTCCCATAAAATTCCCTGCCATGACGAAGCCCATCATCGATCCTCGTTCTTGTTTGGTGCTGATATCGGCAACGGTAGCTGCAGACAGCGCAACGCTACTGCTGATTCCAGAGCTTTGCAAGCATCGTAAAACGATAAGAGCGGCATAGCTGTCTTGTAAAGCGAGGCCAATGTTTGAGGCGATGTAAATAATGAAGCAAATGATATAGGCGGGTCGACGACCTGTTCTGTCTGCAAAGTCACCAATAAACATGGGAGCAATCCCTTGGAAAATCTGTTGAACAACGAGCTGTTAGCTTTCATTTCTCAATATCATAAAGGGTCCATGGCGCCTGCATACCATGTAACTTGTGACAGTCAGGTTGATCAAGGAGGCAGACACATTCAAATCCTCGGCTAGTGTATTCAGGGCCGGGAAGTAAATCTGTGCCGACAGGGAGGAAAAGAGGCCAGCTCCGGCCGCTGTAGAGACGATGTATCTCTTCTTTCCTGTGCTAAAAGAGCTGTACGGCCGGGGAACCTCTGAAAGGGTGGTGTCTGAATTCATTGTCAATCGAATGGGTTGCGAATTGGCAGACAGATCAAAAAAGAGTAAATCAGATAATTTCTATGGCGATTAGATTCACTGAGCCCCTTTTTCCATGTTCCATTCGTTTCTCATGAACAATCCATCGGAACAAAAATAGAAGACCAGAAGGGGATAGGAAAAGACTGACGTATGATTCTGCATAACGGTTCCACCACAATGGTCGGAAAGATTTTTATGATGTGCTTTTCGCAAAGTCTCGACAGAATGATCGGCAAGTGCTCAAAAATCATCCAGAGAGGTGAAAATCATTACTCTCAGAAAGACGAATACCCGCGGTAAAACCGACGCGGGCGCGTCTTTCGGCTCGGGGACGGGCTTACGGAAACATCGGGATCTCGGGGGATTTGGTGGGTTGATGTTAACCCCTTCAACTTAGAGATCTGCAGGGCCGTCGGAGGACCCTGAAGACTCGTGGGTAGCTGGGCTGATATTAGTGGTCTGATCTACCGCCTCGTTGCTTGTTCCGCTGTAGTGCAAATATTCTAGCGCCGAGTTTATATAATGATTATCAGATCGATTGATAATTTTACACCGTTCGGTCCAATCTTCCCCTGCACTAAGTCAGATGAGCTGATTACAGCTAGAACCCTGCCATGCACTAGGATCAGCCTCAACGCACGTCGTACACTGCATGTACTCCGTATGAAGAACACATGAAGAATCCACCGGAGAAAACAAGACCAATGCTTGCAGGAAAGTCAAAATATGCGTCCTTGATCATTCATTACGTGCTTCATCGTAGGCCTGGACTTATTTTCTCCGTGATCTGCGATTCAATTGTGTAATGAATTCCCAGTATATAGCCAATAAGTTTCCTGAACCGACAATGCCTCAATACAACTTCAACATGCTGGGAATGATCCACACTCAACCACTGCACGGAGGAACAATTGCAACAGCGTACCAGATCACGCCATGATGATCCTAGACTCATCTATTGCCATAGGTCCGCGACAGTTGACACGTGAAGTACACCAGGGTTCTCGCCAAGAGGATTAGCATGACGGAAACCCAAGAGAGCTTCGTTGTGGCGATCGTTACTATGTTCGAGGTATAGAGAACATGATTCGGAAAGAGACTACTAGTGTGAATCTTGCCTTCAATGCCCAACAATACTATACGGAGCTCGCTGTTGGTATAGATCCATTGATCCTCGGCGAGCAATATTTAAACCGGCGTATCTCCTTCGATCTATCCAGCCAGACAAAAACTTCCAAATACCTTCCTCAAAATATATTTTATCTTCCTCCTCCTCCCTCACGAAAACTGAAATAAAACACAAGTCTCAAAACATACATCATGGCTGCTCAAACTCTCGACACCGTCTCATCAGTCACTGTCATCGGCGCGGGCCCTTGCGGGTGTGCCTTTTCTGCGGACCTGGCGAGCCGCGGGAAGTCAGTCATGTTGTATGGTCACCCCGATCACCGTGGCGGAACTACGATGATCGAGAACAATGATGGCTGGTTGAATTCAAGCGGAGCAGTCACTGGAAGGTTCCAGATTAAGACCACCAGCGACATGTACCTGGCCATCCGTCACTCTCAGTTCATTGTGACCACAGTGCCATCGTATGGACAAGATACCATCTTGCAGCTCCTGAGCCAGTTTGATCTGCCCAACCACACCCTCATCATCAACGTCGGCAACTTCTTCTACCTCTCCGCTCGCCAAAAAGTCAATGCCCATGCCATCCTCGAAACCGATATTTCCCCTTATGCCACCCGCATTACAGGGGACACAGTATTTGTCAAGGGAGTCAAGAAAAGCCTGGCCATCTGGGCCGAGCCACCCACCACACAGGTCGAGCGTCTCGATGCTGATGCGGAACTTGGTCTCCGAAGCCAGGTCGAGTCGATCTTCTCGCAGAAGCTTGTGTGGTGTCAGAACCTACTCGAAGTGGGCTTGAACAACATCAACCCAGTCGTGCACTGCCCAGCGGCGCTCATGAACGCGGGCTGGATCGAGGCCACCAAGGGTGATTTCTACTTCTACGCCCAGGGAATGTCACCATCAGTCTCTCGTGTAACAGAAAAAGTGGACAAGGAGCGTCTTGCGATTGCACACGCTTACGGTCTTGACCTTGTCCCAATCACGACCTACATGAACCACAACTACAGCAACGACCGCGAATACAGTGACTACCATGATTTCGCTGTGGGCTCAGTGATCCACAACAAGACCAAGAGCTCTCCGACTACCCTCAAGCATCGCTATCTGCTGGAGGATATTCTTTACGGAATGGTCCCCTGGTATGAGCTCGGTCTGAAGTGTGGTTTGACTTCGCCGACCATCCGGGCACTCATCGAGATGGCTTCTGTTGTGAGTGGATTTGACTACTTTGAACACGGGAGGACCCTGAAGGCTGCTGGGCTTGGCGATGCCACTAAGGAGCAGGTGCTTATGGCCCTTGGTGGACCTTTGGACAAGACTAGCAGTGCGATCCCTCCTCCCTCAGACTCACCCGTGGACAGCAGTTTCCAATTGCATGCTCCACTGCAAACAGCTCAAGTGGCTGTGTAAGCCCGGCTACGACACTACTTTTAGATACATCGCTGCTAGATTATTTTTGTGATTTACCTATACCTAGAATTTCTTTCACTTGCATGTCTCTTTCAGAGCCCCTTTTTCCTCGTAGATCCCTCAATATTCTAGTGTGGAGAATTTTAAGATTGTGGTGAAATGGGTTTCTGAGTGTTTTCGCGCAAGAATACCACCATCTGACAAAGTGGAACTACCGAAGGCCTCGAGCATCATAGTTGCCGTCGTCTTTTTTCTTTCTGTATATTTCTACGACTTATGCACTGGTAATCTTGAAGTCCAAATTACTCCACATGTCTGCATTCGAGCTAACCAAGATCAAGCCACATGGCAGAAAGTTACACTAAGCTCCTCGCATTTAATCAAACGCATTATGATCAGGTTCTTACCTTTGATTCGGAAGCCACTATGCTACAGGTGTTTTGAAATACCCTATATGTATTGATCTTACTAAAATTTATTTTAACTATGGATGAATTCTTCTTACTACCACCATGTCCTGTGGCCCTACCACGAGCCTACTGTTGAACCCCGATGACCAAGCACTGAGCTCCGAGTATTTCTGATAAAAACTTCTCAATTAGAATTCGACCGCATTCATGCGTATCAAAGCCTTCCAGGTCTATCATCTGCACTTAACAAGACTTCATTAGAAATGCAAGTTAAGTCTGTAGACTAGCCAGATTTTGCGCATCGCTCTCGCTCCAAGGATAGAGATTTCCTAGCGATTGGATGAGTTCTCGATGTGCCGTACTCCGTGGCTGGATGGACAACTGGAATGGAGCAGGATGACTGATAACACCTGGGAGGTAATTAACTAAAATCTCCTCGACTTTGCCATTTCGAATTGGCTTTGAGATATCGAAGACAGCCAAGGACTGCGCAATGGTAAGAAATACGTTGGCGTCGGCCAAAGTGCGTCCGGGACAGGCTCGACGCCCATATCCAAACACAAGCATATGAGGATCTCGCTCTGCGGGAGAGCCGTCGGGGGAACCTAGGAATCGTTCTGGTTTGAAGGCCATGGGGTCATTGTAAACAAGTGGATCATGCGTAAATGCCCTATTTCATTAAACATTGATCAGTAAATGATACGTTCGGGGTACAATTTAAAACAGCTTACCAAATATTCGCAATAACTGATGATCCCTTGGGAATTCGATATCCCTCGCACGTATCATCTTGAGTTGGCGAGTGCGCCAAGTTTATAGGCACGACTGGGTGCCACCGAAGCACCTCCTTAACTAGTGCATTAATGTACACAAGGTCCTCTCGATCCCGGAATTGTGGTAGCCGACCACTGCCAACTACTGTGTCGAGCTCCTGCTGGGCCTTACGTTGCACGTCAGGGAAAAGGGCCATGGCGAGGAAGAAACTTGCAATGGATGAGACGGTCTATTATAAGGTCAATATACTGTGAGCCTTACAATGCAAATCTTGGTTCTTACTGTGTCTGCTCCTCCAGCGTAGAGAGAGCCAGCTGACCATTTGATAATGTCCTCGTCTTCGGTACCAGGCTCCACAGGGTTGTCTTGGAGAAGGTTGGACAGAAAAGATGGAACAAATGTACCCTGTTTGATTTGGTCTTTGACAAATGCGTATGGGATATCACTGAATGCTTGCTCTGACTTTGTAGCCTTTTGCGATCTTCGCAAAATTTGCCCCAGGGAACCAGGAAGGTAAGTATCTCACTGGCTCAATAGTCAGACCACTTTTCGACTTTCTTTTTAGCCTTTTACAACTAGAATATGAGGACCTGTGGGATTGACGTCGAAAATGACCGCTTTTGAGGCCAGAAACGGCTCCCTTTCCACCCGTAACTTTGGACGTCCAGGCCGTTTTAAGCCTTCCATTCACCGTCGCTAGACTCGGCATCACGTGGGTCGATGCCCACGGCCCGACTCTCTCTACTGCCACACATGCTTTAAGTTCACTGCCCTGGTGTTTGCCTGACCAAGACCACCTGCGCTATAGCGACCGCCGCCGCCGACCCACCCTGAGCTTACCCTGACCCGACGACTGTCGTATATCGCCGAAAGCATGGATTGCTACCGGACACTCAATTCGGATCTGGACGGTATTAAAAAGAATTATGGACACAGTGCCCATTCTTCAATACGGGTCTCAAACAAAAACTGTGAATCCTGCCAAAAATACGCTCGAATATTAACTTGATGCGTATTCTGGACCAATCGCTTCTTTATGTCGATAAAATGCTGCCCTAAGCGCCTAATATAACCCATAACTGAACATGAGGGGTATTATTTTTATTGAAGGAACCGAGTACGTGGGAGCAATAAGTAAAGTCTAGCTAATGATCACTTCCATGATCTTTGATAGTCAGGGGATGTCCATCATTCGCAAGTATCTGTTCCAAATCATATCCGATCGCTAAGCCGTTACCCTGCTCCTCCGCCTCGCGAAAGCCTGGCGCATAGTCATCCACTAGATCGACTTCACCCCCTCGGTAGATTTCCACGAGCCGCCGTCGCATGTCGACTCTAAGCACCGATTAATATATATTATCTCGTAACCAAGAATGGACGGACTCACGGCTCATCCTCCAAGATCTCTCTTGGATCTGCATCTTCATCGCGGTCTTGGTATATTACCCGTGACTCTATGTAATTCAGCGCCTGCTCTATTGGGACCTGATTTCCCGGACCGATTTCGCGATAAAAGTGGGCGAATTCCTCCATCATAATTTGAGCCCGGTAGGCTTTCTTGTAGATACCGTTCGTTGCGAATTCAACCCAAAGCCCTAGTCCGGTCTCAAGGGTCCGGTCATCGATAATAAGCTTGGCATAGCAGTCCCTAAAAAGCACCGTTCCATCGAGCGCCATGTGCATATCAAGGAAGTTGGGTCGGGCGACACTTTGATGGGACTTGAATGTCTCGAGAATATCCCCTTGATTATCTTCCAAGGGAAGAAACATTATCATTTCGTCTGCTAGAAATTCCCAGCCTTCTTCCCATGGGAATAAACCCAAGATACACTTGGCTAGTAGGGCTTCTTTCTCGCGGGTCAATTCGGTGGTGCAGAAGTAGACCATACAGAAATTTTGAACGTCATTTCCAACAAAATTTTTATCCTATAGCTGGATTAGAAGAAGTCAAATAGTAGGAGATATTTCATACTGTAAGTTCGGGACCTTCAAAAAAACTAGGCTCGTCCTCGAGTGCTCGGGATTGATAGCTCTGTCTTAGCGTCAGTGGAGAAATAAGAATTCTTCCAAATTAAAGACATACATCGCGAAATTGTTGGTCTGCTGTTGCCCACCGTTCGCTCAAAGCTCGTTTCTGTTGATCCGCGGCGTCGCCGCCGACCCACTGGTCACGAACAAAATGCCTCCATGCACGAGAGGCGGCATGGAAATTTTCAGGGGCGACGGGTTCTTCGTGTCGGCGAATGAAGGAGGGGATGCCTCCAGGCCACTGGCTGTGCGATCTTATTAGGGACATGATCGAATGGTGGCAGTTCCGAGGGTTGAAAAGAAGTGAGGAACGCGAGGGGCGGGAGTGTATTTAACGGACGAGTTTGACACATGTCCGCCCCCAGTTTGCACTAAGGCATCAAATCTATCTTTCCCGTACATACTCTTCTCAAACACACTAAACCTGTATTATGCGACCTTGGAATCTTTACGACTAACCTTTGATAGGGAAGAGTAAGTGGTCCCGAGCTCGGAGATACAGTGGGTCTTTGACTTAGAGGGTTTTCGTTGAAGTGGATCGCCTACAAACTTGGTGTGTGGCGTCGTTTCCGGCCTAACCGCTCGCATTCAAATGTTCCTGGTTCTGCTAAAATCATTGTAATTTAAGGAAAAGTTTGATATACATAAATTGCAGGTTTCCATGCACTAGTACATGACGGGCGAGAAAAACTAGGAACAATTAAACAGCCAGCTGGCAAATCCTAGTTTCATATTCCAGCGAATTCAAACTAGGAGGAAATATGGTATATCAAAACATTTGATCGTGCCTTGAAGGCCACAGCCTAACCCTTTCCAACATTAAACATTGAAGGTCCCACTCCCAAGCCAGGATCACGCACACGAGCCATAGTTAGCATTACAATTTGTGCTGGAACAATAATCCGACGAGCTACCACAATAACCGTAGTTACTACAGCAGTCGCCAAATTGAGACCCCAAACAAGTCCACTCCGAATTAGACGGTCCACAGAGACCATTTTCCGAGATCGTACTCGTTGGGGTCGCAACTGTGGTAGTAGAGGTTGCAGTAGTGACCGTAGACGATGCGTGAGGGCTAGCTGTTTGGCTAGAAGTAAATACTGTAGAGATTGCCACACTTGAATCATCTGTCAGCGTGATGCTGAAGTTGAACCCGGCAGTCGGGAAGGAACCGTTGACAGGAAGATAGCACACGCGCTCGTATTCACTCAGCCAGGCTTCATCTTGGTACATCTCGTCTGTTAGATCGTAATCGGTGATGTTATACACTGAGTTGACTTGATCACAGAGCGTGTAGGTCGCAAGAGATGCGAGGTATGCGGAATCCGGGGTCCAGGTTGAGGTGGTGGTCAGATCGGAAGGGAATGACCAGAACAGGTTTGTGGTGCTATGGTTGGCTGTTCGGGTCGCGTTGGGATTAATGGTGCTAGCGAGTGTTGTACGAGTTTTGGTGGTGTTGGATGTGTAGCTGGCATAGGTGTTGATGTTACCCACTGCTTGCACGCACTGTGGAGTGGATTAGTTAGCCTGAAAAGAACAATATGTCTTTGTTATTTTCTCATATAGAGAGACGCACGTAGCTGTTCCCTTTCCAGAGGCTGCCACAGCTTGAGGTTGTATTCAATGCGGCCTGGGGATTCAAGAAATCGAAATCATATTGCGAGATGCTGAACTTGTTGCACACGGATTCACAGGTATCACCAGCTTGGATCTGATACCAGTGGCCACAGTCGGTGTTGGAGCTAGTAACCGCGTCGGTAGGAACAGAGCTGCACATCTAATTAGCGTTTTCACCTTCCGAATACACAAGCGAAAAAGAGAAAGCAGACAACATACACAGCAGTGGTTGCGGGCCTCAGAGCCAGGGTATCGGGGAGTGTGAGAGTACCAGGAGGACTGACGCAGATGTACTTCCCCGCAATGGCAGTCAGATTCTCCGAGCTTTGCGCTGAGTTGAGATTGGCATTCCATGCAACAAACTGAGGTACGGAGACTTGACGGGATAGGCTAGCAACGATTTTGTCGATGGTATCCGTCTCCTGAACGCGATAGATTTCACAAACATCGGGAAGGCAGATGTTCGCCCCAGCCACTATGTGTGTACACCCCATATCAAGGCTGTTCAAGTTGATCAAGGCTGAGCTGGAGACATTTTGAGCTACTGAGATAGAAACACAGGTATCTCCGGATTCAACCTTGTAAACAGTTTGATCGGGGTCAGTCGTGTTGCAGCGACTAGCGGCAACGGTGGCTGAGGCAGAGACCGTTGAAGAGGCAGTGGAGGTCGGTGTATAAGTCACAGAGTATCCGCCGGTCGAGCAAGAAGATAATTGACTCATTAGGGCCGAAGGACTGAGCAAAGTATCCTGGTCCCATTTGGAGTTCACTATAGTTGACATGTAGTTCAAATAGCATGCGCTGCATTTGACGTTCGTTGTGCCGTTCGCAATTGCATTCTGGAATAGGGTGTTGCAATAGGCGCCCGAAGCCGAATCAGTCAAGCAGGTTGCATCATAACGCCATTGCATTTCTTTTCCTCTGTCCGAGGCAGTGAGGGTTTTGTGATTGTCTCGCTGTCGCAGGGCTTATCGTTGCTTGTCTCCCGCAGTAGGCGCCAAGTGGGGAATGTCTTTTAACAAACACATTTGAAGCCAGAAGGATTTGACAAAAGTAGGGGTTGGATGCGAGAAGGAAGGCGAAGGAGAAAAGAAAAGAAAAGAAAAAAAAAGGATTGAGGGAAATTAACAAGGGTCCGGTCCCTTGTTAGTTTCAGCACTACCTCTAGCTTTGCAACTACAAAAGCTTCTAGCGTGATACGGTACAGACTAATTAGTTCGTATCTCGCTCGTATGCCGACGATCCATAGTCTCGTCTATACTCTAGCCGACCTGATAGTTTCAAGGGATCCTGTGGTACAATATACATTTGTAGTTCCCACTACAAAATAGCCAGAAAGTGGTGTCCTGCCTTCGTTGCCCTGATTTATTTTCTAATTCTGGATTCATTCATTTCATACTATCTCGGGAAGATGACTGTCACTGCCAGGTTAGTCTCGACTCTGGGATTAGTGGCTGTTGTTTTGGGTCTGGCCGTCGACACCTCGGCGTTCCGGTTGTTCAATGCGACTCCATCTGGTATTCCCTCAACTTGTGGTAATGCCCTGGTGACAAACATGACCTGCGATCAGCTCGCCTCAATCTCCGCTATCTCTACCCAACAATACATTGGGAATAAAACCCTTGAATCAATCTGCTTAGCAAGCTGCAGGGACTCGCTATATAGATTGTCGTGCCTAGTGAATAAAGCAAAAGCACGATTGACCCCATCGCCGCCAGCCACAGAGCCTTCTGGTGCTTAGATCTCGTCGGATCTGGATTTCGCCAGAATACATTGAAACTAGTGGCAGCTCCGGACATGGGCTTCACGCATGTAGCCCAAAATCGAATTGAGTTGTGCGTTAATAAACCCATTTCTGCGAGTGCCTCGCACAGGTAAGTTCTTCGCACGCTCTCCTGTTGCTAGGATTCAGCCTTGATTCACCAGTAAGAGATTTGACTGCTAATATTACGCTGGGCGACTGCCATTGCGCTGGCAAGGGTCATTTGGATGCATGGATGGGATCAGGCATATATCAGGATGTCTATCCAAGGGTCAAAGGGCGACAAAATCATGCGGAGGTAGGATGTCTCGCATATTTTAGGAATTACCTGAGCCCGTGAATTCTTGACTGGAAACGTATAATTCAAAAATTCTCTCATCATAGTGATATACATTTGGATCAATCTCATCTGTGCGCACTGGCCCTGAGGCAGCTTGTGTAGATAACAGCCTTGGCTCTCTGAACGTAATTCTCCCACCCCGGAAACTGAGCTACAGCGTTCATGATCAGTCGGTCTCCGGGATTGATCTCAGGGATCCACTTGAGAGGCATAGGCTTTGGTGACCTGTGGTCGTAGCGAACAGTTGAAACAGGTTCTTCAATCTCTTCCTTTGTTTCTTCATCTGTGCGCACGTGGAAACATCTTTCGCCAGTAGTAGAGCACCAGGTCACGCGATGTTTATGCCAGTCATATCTTGCATGAACATTTCGTAAAACTTCCGGTCCAGGGATTCGGCGGGCCACTTCTTGGAATGGGCCCGGGCTGCCTTCACGGCTCGCATCAAACCATGTATAAGAGCCATCATATTTTCCATGCAGGTGGCTATCACCGCTGTAACCTTGGTCGTGGCTGATCACCTCGTAGTGGATTCGTCTCACAGGGTGGTGTAGGTTTCCGAATACCGGGGCGCTTCGCAGGTAGATCGTCGTATCGCCATGCTGCCTTGCGGCACACTTTGATTCAACTCGCTCGGTTTCGCTCACTAGCCAGTATTCAGCGAGATCGAAAATATGCGAGATCAACGAAGAGGATAGTCTGCCAGAAGTGGCCTTTTTGAGATAGAAATAGGCTTCGAATTGGTCTCTTGGCGTCTCAGGCTGATATCCCTTAGCCATTGCAGTCTTCCTCCAAGGGGGTATCTCAGGGATGGTGACCCCTTCTGGAACAGGAGCTCCTGCGTTCAAGAGTAACTGGATCGCTTCTAACGCATCATTTTCAATCGCAACACTGAATGCTGTTCGTCCATCTGATGTTTCAGCGTTGGTATCAACGCCAGACTGGAGCAGAAGTTTGATGACCTGTTGAACATTTGCCTCGCAGGCAAGGTGAAGAGCTGTTTCTGCATTGTCATTCTTGGCGTCCACCATGGCGTCTTTCGCAATGAGATACTCCGCAATTTCAGCAAGTCCTCTGCTGCACGCTCCGATTAGCGGTGTATTTCCAGCTTTGTCTCGCGCCTCCAGCATAGGCCGTCCCTCGGGGTGATCGAGAATAATTTTGACCGTTTCCAAAGAGCCGCTATAAGCAGCATGATGGAGCACTGTGAGCTTCTGAAAGTCCATCAAGAAACTTTTAGGGTGGCGCTTCAAGAGCATGTCAACAACTAACGGCTGTCCCCATCGAGCCGCCATTAACAACGCCCCTGAAACAAATCCTTCTTCGCTTTCCAGTAGTGCTCCATCATCCCAGGTAAGAAACATTTCTGTTACCTGTACATGACCATGAAGAATGGACAAGGCCACTGGAGGGGCATCCCAGTAATCCTCGCTTATAGCAAGTTGAGGTCCATACTTTGACTTGAGAAGGACCTCACAAATGTTCAAATAACCGTGTTCCGCCGCCATGTGGAGCGGATTTCTTCCAAAGTCGTCCCTGAGCTCGTCAAGATCCGGACTTAGCTCATAGTTCTCCAGCGCACGCAAGAGCTCAACCATGGCGTCCTTGTGCCCCCACCCTGCAGCGGCACGGAAGGGTGTAGTTCCTCCGTGTCCCTGAACTAACAATGTCTCGATTCCTTTCTCCTTGGAGAGAATTTTCGGTATCATCGCTCCATTGCCAGTTAGAGCTGCCACTAGCAAGGGCGTATGGCCGAAATGGGCTCTAACTGTGACATCGACTCCATGGTCCAACAGGATTTCAGCCGATTTGTCGCGTCTGTGGACCAAAGCTATATGCAGCGGAGTAAAGGACGAATATCCCGTCTGATTCAAAATTTGGGATATGGACGGTTGGTTCAACAGCAACTCCAGTGTCGTGTCATGTTGGCCGAAGGCTGCCCAGTGTAAGACATTTCCAACAAAATCATCAAAAGACTCGACAATCACTTCAGGTCTTTTGACTATTAGGTCCGTAATCAGGAAGTCCATCCCAAAATAGGCCAGAATGTTGATTAGCTTAATGGATCGCTCATTCCTCGCCAGACTGTCTCCCATCTCAGCCCCGTCTACACCGGCAATCCCGCACAACAGTGTGCGCACCGCAAAGATAGACTGCAGCTTGAGGTTGAAAAACGAGGCCACCGCCTTTTTAACGGTATCTTTAACCTCGTCGCCGTCGGCCTTTTTCGCATGTAGTCCCCAGTGAAGTGCCGCGTATTCCAGAAATGGGTATTTGGCAACAGTGTTTGAAAAGGCTGTCGTGTGGATCTCTTTGGTATCTGTGCAGAACATAGACAACGAAAGATATTGAATGCAACGCTTGGCAATGTATACATCGGCACTGGGAAACTTGGTGGATTTGATTGAGTCGAGATATTCCTGGGCGGTGGAGTGGGTAAACTGGATTCTTCCTGACACATCCTCAATGGTAACAAGGCCAGCACAGGTTGAAGTCAGTAACTCTCCGGGAATGAGGTCATGGGGATCAATTTCATCATCGCCTTCCTGTAGAGTCAAAGCATATTGTAAATCTTTCAGGCTTAAGGGTCGTTGGGCGTGAGCGATCCACAGAATGATCAGTTCGCCAAGTTCCCGATCTTTCTGTGGCTGATCGTAGATACGGGAGATGGCGTCTTCGTATGTTTTTGAGATGGCATTCTCTCCCTCAGGCAAACTTTTCAGGCTAGCTTGGATACCTTTTGTGGTATGCTGATCTGCCAGGGCATTGAGATGAAGCTTGACAAGGAGAAACCTGATACATATTGTTAGTATCAATCTTTGGTGTTTGGGAGAAATGAGACTCACATTCCACATGCTTTCTTGATAACCGTATCCTTGATCTCACGCTTGAGCTTGTTGTTGTGCATCAACTTCGAGGCGAGTCTGCTAGATTGTAGTCGACCTTCGATGTACTCTGCGAGATCCGTTTCCTTGGCTCGAATCTCCAATTGAGGAACATCACTAAAAGGAGACGTTCGCTCCTTTGGAACGCGGGACGTCACCAACAAGTTTTTGTTTTTGGGTAGGTTTGAAATGAGATACAGCAATTCATCGCGTGTTTCGGTCTTGAGTTCATCCAAGGCATCTAACAAGATGAATACCCGGGAATACTTGCTCAATTCGTCTGACAGCATGTTCAAGACCGTGTCGGTTGTTGGGAGAACGGCTCTTTTCACATACGTAGTCTCGAGTCGTTCACATTCAGCCTCGGTCAGGATGCGATTTTGCATCAGTTGCCTCCACAGAGAGAGCAAGATGTTGTGTGCGGTTTGGTTCGATCGGTCTTTGTAGTCACAAAAGGCAAAAAGAATTGCATCTTCCTTCATATGGAATCTTTCTTGAAGATAATTGACTGCAATCGCGAAAAGGGTGGTCTTTCCTGCTCCGGGGATTCCGGGACACCAAAGTGTTTTTCCGGCGGTTGACAGCCACTGCTGAAAGCTTTCGGTCTCCAAGATCCACTGGCCGGTATTCTTATGTCTGGCGAGGAAGACATCGCTGTACCGCGCCGAAAAGTCGAACTTTGCCAAGAAATTAACGATGCCTTCGTGCCGGTCTTTGTTGAACTTCAGCTTTCTCTGCACGCCAGATTGAGGTCCAGACATTCTGCTTGCAATCAGTGGTCTCCAGCCTTTGTACATTTCGCTGATCTTCGCCGATACACTCAAAAATGAACGATCCTGCGGGCCAGAGTACTTGTTGATTTTGAAATGATCCGTGTTCAAGTGAACTTTGTGTGGACCTAACGCGCCGGCAGACTCTTCGTTCACAACCTTTCGTCCAATTAGCTTTTGTTGAGCGAGAGTGACATCTGTATCGAAACCGTACCAAATCCTTGATAAGTCCTGGGATATAGATTTTGTTCCCATAGTCTGTCTTCCTTTGTTCAATGAAAGCGCAGAAGGGGATCGAATTTCTTTCTAGGAGCCGCTGAAAGCTATCGACCTTGTCTAACAGAACGGTGCTACCATATCCTAGGTATCCATTTATGCCCTCGTCAGCGCCGGCCACCTTCAAAGACTGGATGACTACAGTTGCCAACTGTTGTATCTTTGAGCCTTTAAAGGGACAGCCCAAGAATATAAGGCCAACTGTGAGCTCGACTAAGTATTTCAAGTTTTGTTCAGTCTCTGCGTACAGAAGAGCCTAGCCAAGTGCGAATCTCGTCAGCAGATATTTCGCTCACAGCACAATCCCACTTACGTGTTGAATAACGTTCCCACCCAGACTGTGTCCGATAAATATGAGCGGCCTATCGCTACAGTCTTCACGGAACTCGTGAATTGCGTCTGCCAGGTGTTTACCGCAGACCTGGAGCCGGGTCGTGGCAGCATCAAGATGCCATCTTGACTCATAGTTGTAGGCTAGGACTCGTGCCCTAGGCACTTTATTTGGTAACATGTCACTGTCACTCAACCAGTTCACGAGGCGTGGCTTGCCGTTCACCAGCTGTGTATCATCTTTCCAGGTCCATGACCAATCCACATTGGAGCCAAGGCCATGAACAGCGACGATGCTTCAGAACCTATTAGCATAATAGTAGTATGATTTGTTGTATTGAAAAACATACTCAATTTCTGCATCCTCTGTACTGGGGTTATCCGAGTTCGGATAAAGAATGTCCAATGCGGGTCGGTTTCCAACTTTCTGTGCGAAGGTCAGAAGGCACGCCAATTTCGGAATTGACATCTACCATACCGATTTCTTTTCCGCTGGTATCTTTGGCTGAAGATCCCCGCGCGTGCTCCCACGCGGCAGTTGGCGTTTATGCAGATACCAAACACAAACCAAAATGGCTACCCCCGTCAGGGAAATAAGCTGAGTTGTTCCCCGCCTCATCTCCATGATAATGCCCAGGGACGAATCCTGAGTATTCTCACCTCTTTGAACAATTTTTGCGAAACCCAAAAGCTACTTGAAATGATCCGGGGGCCAACCCAGAATAGGTACAAAAAAGGGTAAGCCTCCTTGTCGTGCTGACTCAACTTCTGAGGCTGATGCATTGACACCTGGCTGCCTAGCGCCGTGCTATGATTTGTCGCATGGGGGCCATTTTGAGCTGATAGGAGAAAAAGCACGCCATACCGGATCTAGGGACCAATCATTGCCATTTTCAGGCACCGGCTTGCATATTCAGGAGTGCATGGCCAATCCGTGATTAGTGGCGTCTGACGCGGGAACAAATATACTCTTTTAGTAGACCTAGCCTTGATCGAAATAAACTAGATTCTGTTTTTGAAGTCATCTTTGAGCTGCGGAAAATAATGGCTGTGCGACCTTGACGAACCCCCATTCGCCTGGAGCGGGGCCCCCACGTGGGTCGGCCCGAAATAGATAAGGCTTCGCAGTTCCCTGGTTGAGGATGACGCATATTTTGATGCGTTGCGATGTTTGCCCCCAATATGCTGGACGAGGCCGACACTACACATACGTGTCTAAGTAGGTCAAAACAAGCAGGCCTGGGCGTGTACTTTACTAGCCACGACCAGGTTCTCCATCCAACTCCATTACCTTCGCAGATTCAACCCAGTTGTACCAGTTTACTTCTCCGTCAATGTCCATGTTCATATCAATCTTTTCTGCGGGGAGATTCTCAAACTCGGCAAGTGCATGTCCATCAGTCCACAGCCAGGAAGCAATGTCTTGCTCAGTACCCGCTGCAACTTGTGAGGGCAGTGTAAATGAGCTATGCGTCGAGACAGTAGGCTGCTCCGTCCCAACCTCGACGCTTGGACCGGGGAGCAGGCCCGAGTTGAGTCCATGAATCGTGTTAGCTGGCACGTTCTGTTCAGGGTAATAGGCTCCAGTAGAAAGACACTGCGGCTCAATGGTAAACCCTGGGCTAAAATTCGCCTGTTGAGCAGCGGCAGAAGGCATCAAGGTTGTTCGGGTCGCGTTTGGAGAATGAACCGGTACTCCTGATTCGAGCCCTTCATCTGTATTTGATACCATATGGCGCCATCGCTCAAGGAAGACACCTGCTGAGTTGGAACCGGGTGGAAATGGCCCGGTGCTCGATGGCAACGGTAGATCTTGGTACTCCGTCTCTAGCTGTTCGGCAGCGCTAAGGTCGCTTCTCAAGCGTTTAAGTTCCATACCCCGGTGTTGTCTTGCTTTGCTCATAAGTTTCCGCAGCGGGACCCAGATTCGGAGGCTTTTGTCCATATGCGATTGAGTGGGGATAAGCCAGGCACTGTGAAGGGCCACCCAAGCTCTCTCGGAGATTGGAGACCATGGGCGCCGCGAGATCTCAATCATCATGTATACAATGGAGTACCAATGTGTATAGGTCTGAAACGCCCACCGCCAATGGCGACATGCATTTTCGCTGTTCAGAGCATGATTATATTCGGCGACTTCAATTGCTGATATCAGCAGTTTCGTCCGGAGCTCTTCGGAAAATTCATTATTGGCAGTGGAAAATAGCAGAGGCAGGTAGATCAGCAAGGCCATCTTTGCCATAACCAGGCGCGCGACAATAACGACCACCCAATATGTTATGTTTCCAGATTCGGTTGAGTATTGGAGGAAATTTTGCTCAAGGGTCTGGTAAATTTGGTTCAACGAGCGACTCTGTTCCTCCAGACTCGGTGTCTTGTCCTTGAAGCCGTGGGACATCATCTGCATTGTGACCTGGCACATTCCAAAGGTGACGCGTGCGACCGACATGTCCGTCAGGCCATCGTGCTCTTGGGGAACTTTCGTCGAGACCGGATCAATGTCGGTGTCATTGATATTCATTGGCAGTTTGGTGTCGAAACTAGCACTTGTGATGGTATAGTCCGAGCCTTGGCTTTCGGATGCTCTAACATCCAAAAGGCACAACACCCACCATATTCTTCTTCTCATCTCAACTTCGTAAGGGGTCAAATGTGCGAAATTTGATCCATCACGGTGTAGTCCCAGGGCTTGCCCCATTCGAATAGCTAGCCCAGTCATCATCCATACAAACCTTGGACTGTCATGCCGGCGAACAAGACCAAGAAAGATGGCGAATGCTTGAACCAATACTAGGTCGGGCACGTTGAGGAAATCGGCTCTGGCAAGAGCATGCTCAAAACCTTGGCGGTATTTGAGATTTAGTTCAGCTTTGGGGACTCCGAAGTTCATCATGATCTATATGCAATCAGAGGTAAGTTTCGTTTGTCCATGCTCGGTCCAACCATAACTCCCAAATCGAATACGTACATCATCTTCTTCCATGGACGTTACGGCAGCATAGTAGATGGAGAACATTAATGCTTCGTTGGCTGGTGTGAGTCCCTTCATTTCACGGCTGCGCCAATCACGAACCATCGCCTTGACGGTGGGAAGGTGAACAATTTGGAGGATGACATTCACGTTTTCAGCAAACACGTCCAGTAAGAACGGTATCTGTGATGGTAACGGGTGAAGATTTGTGAGATTAGGGGAATAAGAAGTCAGGTTGTGACCAAATAAGAATGCGTGACGGTCTGAAGGTGTCTGTTCAAGCTCCTGGGTAGATGGGGTGTTCCCCGGCGATGCCTCATCATCCGAAGTATCAGATCCTTCTAGAGGTAAATTTTGGGTATCCATTTTCAGGCCATCGATCTATAGAGAAGATTAGCTCGCCGTCCACGAGCCACGGAAGCGTGAACCAAACCAACCTCGTCATTGACCCGGGACCAGAAGCCACTGCTGATATAACGGCTTCGACCAGCATCCCGGAGAACTAGCCTTCCAAAATTCTGCTGCATATCTCCTGTGCTATTGGGTAATGCCTGTGACTGTTGCTCGGGTTCTCGATCATGCATAGAGCTCTCAGGCGAGCCAACACTAGACAACCCTCCAGCAGCGGACTTAGCCTTCTCCAACTGACCAGTGAGATCTTTGACAAGGCTTTCCAAAGTCCGCAGTCTTTCCATCACTCCATCAGCTATCGGTCGGACCTCCTGTGACGCCTGCGGGTTGGATAACGCGCTGTTGAGACGGTCGAGGCGACGCGCCCATCTCGGAGGGCGATCTGTGGAGGGAAAGATACACGCAATGTTTGCCCGACGGCAGTTTGAGCATGGCGCCCGCTTGTCACAGCGAACCTTGCGACTTCGGCATACCACACAGCTGCGTGGCTTTGGTGCAGCTTCATTGCGGCCTGAGGTGTCCAATCTCGCGCTTTTCTCGGCGTCCGAGACCGACGCGAACGCGCCGGGAGTCTCCTCGCCCCCAGTCTTGGGCATCTCTTGTAACATCCTGGCAGGAGGCTTGGCTTAGCTTCCTCAGAGCGCGATTAATCCCGGTCGCATCCTCCTGTAGCCTTGCAATCTGGCAGAACGATGACTCGGAGCGTTAACGGTTGACGGTCTGGATCGGGGATAGCGGCCACGACAACCAACGGGAGATGCCCATTTCCGCCTCCTTGCCGTTGACCAGGTTTGGCCCCCATTCGTTGAGCGAGAAACGGGCGAGAGATGCTGACTGCGTTGTCAGCCAAGATGGTCACTGTGGTGGATGTTCGCGCTCTTCGGTATTGTATCGCTGTTGAGATCTGACCTCACGCCAGCCAAGTTGTGTATTAAAGAGCACCGCAATCCGGTCTTGAGGACTTGATTATTCTCTAGCTGACATCTGCAATATCTTCCAATACAAGATTCCTCGTTTCTCACTGCTGATATTAACGTACATCCTCCTTACCTGAGCACCCACAAGCCACCCAAGACAATGACTTCCAACACTAAAGTCGTCGCTTTCTTAGGCGCCAGCACTGGCGTCGGGTTGTCCGCCCTGAAGCACACCCTCGCTGCTGGACATCAGTGCATCGCGCTCTGCCGCAATCCCTCAAAACTCACAGCCATCTTCCCAACAGAGTCAACACCAAACCTCAAAATCATTGGGGGAAATGCACACGATGTCGCGGCCGTATCCAAGTGCCTCCAAACAGAAGCTGGCACCATCGTCGACATTATTGTGACCACCATCGGCGCCAAACCCTCTGGTCTTGGTGTCGACGACCCAGATGTCTGCAAAAAAGGTGCGGCCACGATCCTCGACTCTCTCGCCGAGCTTCGAAGGAATGGCATCACCGGCAGTCCGCATATCATTGCGTGCGGCACAGCCGGCTTCTCCCGGTTTGGTCGTGATATCCCTCTTGTCATGATTCCCGTTTACGCTCTGTTCGTCCGGGTTCCGGGCGCTGACAAAGTGGTCATGGAGGATCGATTCGCGCAGAGTGGAGAGTCCTTTACAATCATGCGTGCTAGCCACTTGGTTGATGGGGAGTCTACTAAGCCTATTCGTGTTGGCGTTGAGGATCCCAAGACGGGTGTTGAGTCTAAGGTTACTGGCTATACTATCTCCAGGGAGGATGCGGGGAGATGGCTGGCCGAGAATCTTGTCCTGCAGATGGATGCAAAGTATTTGAACAAGAATGTGACGATCACATATTGATTGAGGTGTCGTACTGTGTTGTAATTGTTTGGATCAAATTGCACAATACATACTTGGACCTCGACGGATTGTAATTTATGGAGAGCATTGAAATATATTTTGGTCTCATTCTTAACTCACACCAGTAGTCGTGCTCGAAAGATTCATTATAGCATTATAGCACACATTCAGTAATGACAAAGTCTTTCATAAAGTCGTTCCTGACATGCATTTCTTCGTCGTGGGGAGTTCCACGTAGAGTCGGAGATACGTTGCGGTTATGGGTTCTTGAGATTTCTCAGCTCCGCGCACACAAATCGCGAAACTGGAAACAAATCAAAGCAAAATGAATAAAGAAGGGTATATACCTCAATCTCAAGCAGCCTCGCAACCAATCACATCTTTATTCATCGGGGCACTCGTCACCAGAGGAATCACTGGAATCAGAACCGCACTCGCAGTAGATTCTCTTACAGTAGGGGCAAGGCATATTCGATATGATCAAGGGACAATCTTTTGATTGCAGGTAAAGACGCTGAAGGGCCTACTGACGTGGAAGGATAAATAGTATTTATATGTCTGACCTGCATGAAGCTTTCCCTACCCCCGCTTACATGTGAAATCTCGCACTCGTATCTCCCACCGTGACTTGTACATATTGACTTCTCTGAATATATTGACTCTGCATGAATCTACATTGCATAGATTGGTTGGCACCTACCGGAGCGAAATAAGCCATCGGAGTACAGGTCATGACTACGTGGTGGTATGTGCTCGGTGCGATATGCTATATCCAGTCCCCAGCCACCCATGATGGATGCCAGTTCATCACCACAAAGAGTCTATCATTCTTGCATAGTACTGTAATCTTAGAAGAGCGGACAGGTTGGTTAAGATGATGTAGCTATTTCTACGTTCACTATCAAGCTTAGCAGTTATCTTGCAATCTGCGTCAGTAGTCGACGTTATGTCACGTAAATACCCAGTCCTCATGGTTCTCTCTTGGATCGCCCCAGATTTCTAAAGCATTCGTAACCTCTTCCTTGCGCTGTGTGTTCTCGAATCGGGCCGTATCCCACATTATCCACCCCCATTCACGTGCTTCATCTCGGGTATACTCTCCGAAGAGATTGGATGTGTTTCCATAAAGTCCACACGGGCTTGGGCGGTGCTACGTCGAAGTAGATATGTTAGCTGCTAGTGGAAAGGTTCAAATAGTAATAGTGACTTACCGAAGGGCAGTTTCTGCCCGGAGGGGCAGCGAGACAAGCGAGGTAAAGGCAGTCCCTTTCTCTTAAATCATCAAAGGCGGCATATTACTTCGTTCTAGATCGAATTGTCACTTCATCTCGAGGGAATTGCCTTCCAGTGTGAGTAGAAAGTGAGGAGAGGGAGAGAATGACTGGCGGCGGTACCACATCTGGGCCGCCACCCCTGTTGTATGAATATAAGAAGGAAAGAATAACATTTGACTCCAGTCGTAATAATTTACGGTCTGTCAAAGTTCCCCAGTCATGGTTGCGGGTGTGGTGCTGCGCATTATCAGGTGCTGGAAATAGGAGAAGGTTCTCTCTGCTTGGGGTGTACGAGGAAGGGAAGTTATAGCCGTAGGCCATAGGTACCTTTAGACTACATCAATGATGAGGCTGACAATGAAGAGTATGCCACCTCCCCCGGAAAGGAGTAGATAGTCCCTGTGCCGAGCATCCTTTGTTCTTTTCTTGTTTGCAAGTAAATATTTGTAGCGCCTGCGGGCAATACCACCGCCCCAATGGGCACATGCCATGTTCCTTTCGTGTGGTAGGCGAGTTATAAACGCTCAAGCCTGACAGCTTGTCCTATTTCATTAAAGATAATGAACATGAATAAAGAATACTGGTTAAGATATTTATTTATATTCGTTATATTGTAGAGCCAACCAGTGCGCCCTCGCATAGTCTATATGCAATTATGTACAATGCTAGTAAAACATGCTGGTAAAACATGAAAAAAAATAGAGGAACAACCGATAATCAAAGCGACTAGGCGTCGTTGGCACAGGTGAAACTGGCGTTACCGGTATCGTTGTGGATGGCAGTACCAGAAGCATACAGGCCAAGGACACAAAGGATCAGACCGAACAGAGCAATGGCAACATTCAAGACGGTGAGGGCGATCTTGCGGGGAGAAGCAAACCACTCGCCGTAGTTCAGGTGCAGCCAGTAGATACCGGACAGACCGTAGGAGAACCAACTCGCGAACAGAGCACTGATCAAGCCGTTCAAGTCACTGAAGACGGGAATGGCCTCGGAGATGATCCAGGCAACAACCCAGCAGGAGACTCCCAGGCCAATCCACAGACCGATGGAGCGCCAGTTGCTTTGGTGGATCAGGCCGGACTTGGAGCCGAGGCGGAAGTAGATGTACTTTAGACCGATGTGGCCGTTGACAACACCGGCGCCGACAATGGTGGGGATGGCGATGCCGTAGGCGACCTTGCTCATCAGGGGTCCAGCGGAGGTCAGGGCGGGCGAGTGGACGTCTGTGCCGATGTAGTAGTAGATGACCACGGCGGCGGTGAGGTAGAGGCAGATTTCGAAGCTCTGGAGCATGAACAGGGACTTCTTGAAGTCTTTGGGAGATTCCATCTCGGCGATCAGACCGAAGAAGGCGACGTGAGCACAGTAGGCGAACACGATGTTCGAGACGGCTTGGAAGGCAGTGTAAAGGTCGTTCTCGACGGTGGCCTGAATGACGCGGCCAGGATGACTTTCGACACCCACGGATATCATGGTGATCATGACAGCGCTGAAGATACTGAGGAATGAGGCGAAGGAGATCCAGGTCATACCCTTCATGGTACGGGGAATGGAGAGGACAAGCGAGAGGACCATGCCGACGACACTGAAGACGATGGAGCAGGTGCCGTGGTTGGTGATGGTGTTCATCATGACGCGGAATGTGAGGATGTGGCTGCCCATGACGAAGATGCAGAAAAGGAATTGGCCAATACCGAAGAGCTCGCGGCCGAACTTGCCCAGCAGAATCTCGCCAGCATCACCGAGGTTCTGGATGTGAGGGTACCTTTCACGGAAAAGGCCGATGTTGTATCCGGTATATGTAGCGAGAAGACCCAGGCCAACAATCAGGATAATACCCGGGACGAGGCCCAGGGTAGCGACAGCCGAGGGCAGTGACAACACACCCAGCGACACTGACTCACAAATCATGAGCAGACCGCATTGCCTGAGATCACGCGTCAGAATCATCTCCAGCAGACAATCGAGTCAGAGTTGATACATACCACCACTTCAAGGTTTTATACTTGATCTCGGCGTACTCCTCGTTACCAAAGGCATCGTGGACCTCGCCCTTCAGCTGACCTTCCTCCTCGAATTGAGGCTGGTCGATCCTGTCAGCAATCTTGTCCTGCTCGTAGGCAGGTGGTGCCGGTGTAACCTCCATGCTGTCTGACTTGTTGAAGAGCAGAGGTAAAGAGGTGAGAGAGTTGAGGAGAGACGGGGAATCAAAAGAAGTATTCCACGAGGGAAGAAAGGACCAGAGGGGAATCTGGCCATCTTATTGTTCGCGTGCCGATTTTGCCCCATGGGCATATCGATCCACCATGAGCCCACAGAAAACCCGATGCGGATTCGACCTGGTCCAATGGCCGGTATACTTCGGTCCGACTCCGGCGTAATGGCCAATCAGAGTGGAGTATTGCCCTGCTGACTCATTAAAATTGGTGATAGAAACTGCCCGGCTGTAACGTTCCCCAACTTCCAAACCTAATAGTTGTAATGATCATGACACTTGCTGATCGCCGCTTATGGTTAATCTATTTATTTATTGTTTTTATCTGGGGAAACCTCATAAAATCACCGTTGCACGCACGTTATGTTATACGGCATGTCTACAATTTCTTCACCGGGTTCGGGTTTCGGCTCGGCCTTACACGCCCCAACTTAAAATTTTTGCCTTCACCGGACCATGCAGGGGTGGCAACTCAAACGAGCCCCACCTAGACTGGGGAGTTGAGAGTGAACTCCGGCGAGTCCACCAGCTAATTTAGGCACCAGTGCTCCATAACGACGGCGCTAATATTCTCTTGTACGGAGCACTGTACTGAAGTTGCACCGCGTACGCGTCTTCTTATTGACTTTCGTGCTCGCCCCGTGCCGTTATGCATGACAGTTGGTTTTTCCATGGTTCTTCTAGAACTTCGATCCTTCCTGTTTGGTTTTAGTTTCCGCGTGACACGTGATGACTTTTAATCTTTTTGACATGAGATAACCTTAATGATGATAAGCCTGTGGCTAGACAAGGAAGATCTTTAGGGCCTTAGTTGTATCCTATCAGCATCAAGACTCATGATCTGGCTCGATCTTGCCAGGGATTGATCTTGAGACTTCCCCGCACCGTTTCGAGTATCGCTGTTTAGATTCTTCATGCGGACACCGAAAGTTTATCACTGTAGTTATACAGATACTGCGCCCAGAGAATACTCAGTGCGATCCACGAGTGTTGAGTACTATATCAAGTAACGTGAAGGATATAGTTCAACCTCCTAAACATTTTCGAACATCTTGAGACTCCGGCCTCCGCGTACTCCGTAGTGCATGTGAGTAAAGACTTGACAAACCTGTACTTGATAAGAATGCTGAAACATCCTGCATGTATCATGCCATATCCAGAAAAAGCAAAGTGATCTCGGGATCGATAGCAAGTGTAATGTCTCATTGTATATAGAAGTCGCCAAGTTATCTCTCACTTCATGCTGGTCTGAAAAAGCGGGCCTTGCGATTGATGCCAAGCAAATATTGACCTGCCCAAGTGGGCAGCGGTGATCCTCCCAGTCACATGACTCATCTCCATTACTAAGCAATGTCTGTGGAAGGTGCAATATACACTAACCAGATGTAGACTAGTTCCAAGACCAGCGGTCCCGGACATCTGAATGAAAGGCAAGCTCACAGGCTCAATAGATTCTAGGCTTGATTCTATACATCTACTTCACGGAGTGGACTGACACCGCACCACCTGGTGACTCTGCTCATATCTATATGGCATGAATTCACAGCAGCCCATCGACTCTCCAACATGGCCGCCGTTGCCACATTCTGCCTTGGATTCGGGACTAGGAGACATTCTACATACAACTGAGCCAGATCCATGGCTGCCAGATGATTCAGGCTTTGGGCCCGACGCTATTAATGACTTTTATCTCCATTCCTCAGATGCCAGTGATCTGGGATGGGAACAGTGGATAAGTCATGAGTCACATCATCTATCAACACCTGATCGACAATTTGAGCCTCAAGGTCACGGTGAACTACAACCCTCGGGTGTTATAGCCAACTCTGCTTCACCCCTACCGACAGATTGCGTGGATCAGTATCTGCCGCAGCCAAACCTCAAGAATGTCTCGCAGTGGCTACACGGAGCATACCGTCCCCCCGTCCCCTGCAACCATTGTCGCAGACACCGACTACAATGTTTAATCATCCGGACCACAGATGCCAACCCGAATCCAAAGACATCATGTTCAAGCTGCGTTGCTCTATTCCGGGAATGCAGTCTTGCCAAAGGAGAGAAACGCTTCCCAGCAGGCTTTGAAACCATGACCCCAGTTCTCGGACATCTACACGGCGTCCCAGAAGATGGAAACATATCCTCCGTCACCAATCTCAACAACGAAGATGGTAGAAGAGAACCCAAGCAATTCATTCGAAAGGGAGCTCGAGTCCTCCGAGAGTGGTTCTATCAAAACCAAGAACATCCCTACCCAACCGACGCGCAAAAGATCCAACTGTCAACGGACACAGGCTTTTCTCAAAAGCGTATATCAACATGGTTCGCGAATGCTCGTCGACGCCAGAAACAGAAGATCCAGTCATCGGGATTAGGCTCGAGGTCTCGTACCCGCGCGGGCTCTCCCATGATAACCAGCACCTTACCCGACATGACCCCAATGGAACGATGGCAGGCATCCCCACCAGAAGACGAACCCGTCCCCGAAGCAGCGATTCAAAACGCCATCGCATCTGGCTCGATAGAATCAGACGGAACCATTGATCCTTTCAAGCTTGACAGCTCTGCAATGGATTTCCTCGACTTCGACGAAAGCTCTTCACATCTGGCATCTTCCATCTCAAGTATTGGGAGCAGGGCATCGGAGTCTTCCGACAGTGCCTCTTCGGCGTGGAGTTATCATTCCTCTGGGGATACAAGCTTACCATTCCCCCTTCTCCCGAAACAAAGCAAACCCAGACATATCCGGGGACGGTCACGGGGCGGGTCTGAGAATCATGTTTACCAATGCACATTCTGCACACGTTCTTTTAAGAAAAAGCATGATTGGACTCGCCATGAGAAAAGCGTTCATATAACTCTCGACTCCTGGCTCTGTACTCCGAACCTAACGGAACTCCAACAATACTTTGATCTCCAACCTTCCGAATGTCCCTTCTGCGATGTTCTATTCCCAGTGCCTACCCATATGGAAGAACATGAATTCCACGTCTGTGCCGACAAACCCGTTGGCGAGCGGTCATTTAGTCGGAAGGATTATGTCTGGCAACATCTTCGCAAATTCCACAGTTGCACGAAGACACCGGTATCTGACCTCGACGCCTGGCGCGGTTCAGGCGCCAATGTCAAAAGTAGCTGCGGATTCTGCGGGTGTCGTCTGTCTACCTGGACAGCTCGGGTAGATCATCTTGCTGATCATTTCAAGAATGGCTCTCGGATGCATCAGTGGGAAGGGGATTGGGGACTTGATTCATCGGCTATGGGTGTTCTACGGAATGCAATACTGCCTTTTGAACGTGCGGCGGATTCATCTGCTTAACGTGGATGAAGAAAAGTTATAAGTTACATGTAGATACGAATGATGAAATTATGAATGACAGAATACATGCCATTGAAATGCTCATATCGCATAGAAACTAAACTATCCAAACCTAGTGTCCTACTATGCCGATGCTGAAGCCTGCCATTCAGGATGATACCAAGACGCAAGCCCCAAAACAAACAGGAGCAATTTCCCGTCACGAATAACATCCTTAGAAAGCTGCACAGCCATCCCCATCCCACCCGATTTCCCACCAAACAACACCTTTCCCCCAGTCAAGAGCAATTCCCCCGTAACAAAAATCGCAAATGGATTCTGAGCCGTCGCAGGCTTCGGCGGGGGACTACCAAACAGTGAAACCGAAGTCCCAATAAGGAAAAGCAAGTAAAAGGAAACAGCCAATGCAAAAACAGTATGCAGCGTCTTCCATATCCGAGTACTCTTCTGTTCCGCCTCAGTTGGCGCAGCAGCTCCACCAAGCATATTAGCCAGGAAGGGCGGTACGCCGGCCATGGTCGCCATAGCGGCAAGCGAGGATCCAGGGCTTGGTGGCGCGCCTGCGTCGGGGGGTGTAGCACCCGGCGGGGCGTTGGGATCACCACCGGGCATCGCGCCCAGGAGGGAGCTCAGAAGTTTGATGGCCGGGTCTTCGGCGTCGTTAGATTGCAGGCCTTGGCTCTGTCCTTGTTCTGGTGCTGATTGTCTCAGCATTGCGCGGAAGGCGTCTTGCTGTGCTTGCAGGGCTTCGGCTTGGCTGTCGAGTTGTTGGCCTTGGGCTTGGCCGGAGGCGGATTGTTGGAGCATGGCGAGGAAGGCTTCTTGTTGGGCGCGCCGGGCTTCTGGGGATTGCATTTCTGACTGGGGGGATGGCGAGGGGCGGAATTGGGGCATTGGGGGTGCTGGGGATGGTGATGCGCTGATTGAGCGTTGGGGGGATGGTGAGGCATCTTCGCGTTCTGTTTCGAGGCTTCTGTTAGCTTGTGTCGTGGTGGTATGTGTGCTTTGCTATTGAGGGGTGCTTGAGAGCCATAGCGCGGAGAGAATGGAGCTCTTCATTTCGTACCAGATTGCGGAGTGCGTCCACTCAGACTGGTGATCTTGTCCAGGCGTGCTGACCCTCCTTCCTTGATCTTGGCCTCTCGCCGCTCGCGCCGCAGTCGGGCGGATCGTTGAGCTGGTGATTCTTCGGACATTATGGATATTCTGTGCCAGCTCACAGATTATAGTTGAAAAAGTCGTGAGATGTAGACAAAGGTGGAAAGTGGGATGGTGAGGGAAGGCAAAGGTGTCTGGATGTCGATCAAGTCCCGTGCCGATAAGATCTCTTTCGTGGCCATACACAACTTCCTCTCTACAATCGTCTACTACATAAATTCACATCCCGTGAGGTGTCGTTGGAAGTAAGATAGCTTCATTCGTTCATTAACTAAATAGCAAGCAAACCTAAACACCTATAGGTTCTAATGACGTTGAGCCTGCTATTTACCATCGAAATCCACTAGCGATATGTAACAAGACAATTGCGATTCTATTCAACTGAATTCATTCGTTCATATATACATATACAAAGATCCTAATAACAAAAGTCCTGTACCAACTGCGTGAAAACCTT